AGTAACAGGAAGTCAGTTATTGGAGTAACAGGAAGTCGGTTTTGGGAGTATTAGGAAGTCTGTTACTAGAGTAACATGGAGTCTATTAGTGGAGTAACAGGAAGTCGGTTATTGGAGTATCGGGAAGTCTTACTGAGTAACAGGAAATTTTATTTGGGGTAAAAGGAAGTCTGTGAGTGCAGTAGTGGAAAGTCTGTTATTAGAGTATCAGGAAGTCGGGCTGGGCTGAGCGTGCGTGAGTGTGCCAAGAGCGGCCTGACCCCACCCTTCTGGGCTCCTGGGGGCACACCCAGAGCCTGGAAGGCTGTTTCCCAGAGCCTCGCCCTTTTAGAACGGATTGGCCAAGAATGTGCCAGCGATGGGGCTCGTTCCCTTTTCCTTTCCCCCACCCCCCTCCCCGCCCTTTCTTACCTCTCTAGAATCTTCCCATGGCATGTGGCTCTGTGAAGTGAATTTCTCTAGGGCAGCAGAAAGGGGACGAATCCAGCCACCGTCAGCACACGGAGAAAGTCGGTCACCTTGATGACCAGGTGACAGATGGGCTCACAGGTCGGGTGGCATCCTTCCTTTGCTCTCACACAGCGGCCAGCCCGGCAGCGTTGCAGGAATGTTGTTCATAGACTTCTGGGAATTGTTTTTTGTTTCTATGCTTTTTTTTTTTTAAATCCTACAACCCAGAGGGCTTTAAGAGTGACACTTCTCCGGCCAGCCCCTGTCTGTGCTGGATAGTTCCTAATATGACCAGTTTCCTGGCGTCTGCTTCTGGGAAAGTGAAAGGCAGAGCTGGGATGGAGCAGACTCTGTCGGCCACGAGGAATACTTTGCATGAGGTAGAAAAGTCTCAGCACCACATCACAGAGAGCGACGTTTCAAACTTCTTCTTTAATGGGGGGGGGGGAGTTTTAGGTCCCAGCCAGCCATACTCAGGGGCTAATTGCTGGCTCAGTGCTCAGGGGTGACCCCTGGTAGTGCTTTGGGGCATATGGGATTCGAACTTACTGCTGTTTGCAGTAAGCAAGGCGGGCGTCTTATCTCCTGTGCTGTCTCTCTGGCCCAAATCTTTTCTTCTGGTGTTAAGTGACTCTAGCGGGATGCTTTGTCCCACGCTGTGACACCTGTGTGCCGAGGCCATCCTTACCAGCTCTTCAAGGCATCGGGTCACGTTGTTGCCCTGTGGCATCAGGCCGAGAGGGACACACACACAGTATATCATGGTCGGATTAGAACGCGGGCAGCGTGGGCTGAGAGTGAGTGACCGCTCGTGGGCTAGCCGAGCTGGCCCACGCTTTCCTTACCAGTGGGGAGGCTGTGACTCGGTTGCCGTCCAGATTCCAAGGGGAGTGTTTCCGTTTCCCATGTTCTCTTTCCCCCTTTAACATTTCACAGAGACAAGAAGATTCTGTTCGCAAACTTTTAAGCACGCAATGGACACCTGGTGCTGGTTCTCGGTGGGCCGCTGGGGGCACTGGTCTGCCCATCCTGGGACAGCAATGCGGAATGACAAGGGTGGCTGGACAGGGCGGGGCGACAGGTGGGGGCAGCCCGGTAGCCAGCCGGAGACCCACATTTGCACACGTCCTGAAGAACTGGTTCCTCTCCCCGGGCCAGTTCCTCCCCCTCCCCCGGCAAAGGCAGGCCAGAGAGATAGTGCAGGGCTGACCTGGGTTTGTTCCCTGACACCACTTACGGTCCTCTGTGCCTTACCAGGAGCACAGAGCCAGGAGTAAGCCCTGAGCACTGCCCGGTGGGGCTCCCAAACCAGTCAAGCAAATGAAACATGCCCCAGGACCCAGGGAGGCTCCGTGGGAGAGCTCATACCTGACCCCGGGTTCCAGTGCCAACACCACAGCAAATGGAGGCCAGACCTGAAAGCCCCTACTCCAGTGGCCCAGGCCGAAGACCGTGCCCAGAGAGTGGGTTCGAATCCCAGTTCCTCCTGGGCCTGCGTCTCCCTCCTGTTATTCGGGACAGAGCGTGCCCGGGGTCTGAGGGTCCGTGGGCACCCCACCCCCCCCTCTGGCATGCTCAGGAGCCCAGAGCCTCCTGGGTTCCCAGAGAAGCGAGCGCCCCGCGCCCCCGGCCTATGTGGGAGACGCCTGTCTTCAGAGCAGCTGGGCCTGGCGCCAGGCACTCAGCTCCCACGCAGAGGCTGCCGAGGCAGAGGGAGGGGCGCGTGGGCGCTTCCACACGGTTCTTCTCCCGGCCCCGAACTGTAGGACCCAGGCTGCCGGCCTGGGCTCAGGCTGCTCCTGCCCTCACCTGGGGGCGCCGGCCCGGCTGGTCTCCCCATGCTGAGGCTATGGGAGATACGTGTGGCCACAGTGCTGGGCCTGGGCTGGAGGCAGGGCCGGGGGGGTCTTTGGAGCAGGCGCTTGAAGGCCTCAGTCCCACCTGCAATCCCTATGGCCCGGTCAAGAGACTGACCTCCGACCTCTGTCACCATCCGTGGTCCAACTGCCCAACTGTACGTCACTTTCACAGACTTTCCCAGGTCCCAGAGGGAGAGGGGCGCTTGCCTTACACGTAGCCACCCCGGGTTCAATCCTGGCCCCTCGTGTGGTCCTCTGAAGTAAGCCAGCAGTGAGCCCCGAGCACCACTGAGAGTGACCTGAAACTGTTACTGACACTGTCCTCCCGTTGTTCATCAATTTGCTCGAGTGGGCCCAGTTACGTCTCCATTGTGACAATTGTTACTGTGTTTGGCATATCGAATACGTCACAGGGAGCTTACCAGACTTTGCAGTGCGGGCGAGATCCTCTCGGTAGCTTGCCGGGCTCTCCGAGAGGGGCGGAGGAATCGAACCTGGGTCAACCAAGTCAGCCACGTGCAAGGCAAACGCCCAACCCACTGTGCTATCACTCCAGCCCTGAACTAAAGAAATAAAAAATACAAAGTTTCCTGGACCAGAGAGATAGTTCAGCAGAAAGGCGCTTGCCAGGGAGTCCCCTGAGCTCCCTAGGAATGACCCTCTGACTACTAGGGCAAACTCGTTTCCTAGCGTTGACATGGCTGATAAAGGCCGACGTGCATCTTTGCCGCTTGGAGCTCTGGACGCCCTCCCTTGCACCACGTGGCCCCAGGTGTGACTCCCAGGCAAACAGAACAGAATGAAAAGGAACACAATGGCTTCCTGGTCCTCAAGCCGCAGGGCCACGGCTGCCGGGGTCCCCTGCGGGCTGCCTCCACCTGGCAGCCTATGGAATGATCTAGAAGAAAGCAGACCAAGCAACTCCTCCTCCTGTATCTCCTGGAGAGAGGTGTCCTGGTCCCCCATGTCAGGGACCCCCTTTCAGGGGAGAAGGATGCTCAGGAGTGCCAATTTGGGTGCCGCAGGAAGCAGCCCTATCCCCCAAGGAACCCCCGGTCCACTGGGGGCCACCACACAGAGGTGGTGGGCTCTGGGCACCAGGGATGCCTGTGGAACATTGAGGGGGACCATAGTGGAGGGTTCCAGGAATGCTTGGAAGGCTTCCTGGAGGAGGCACCCAGCAGCACCTTGGGAGGAGAGGTTTCTGGGTAGAGAGTGGCTGCTGCTGCCCAGGCTGGGGTGGACTGGGGTTTGTGCGAGGAGCTGCTTTACGTAGCTGGGTGGACAGCCCATTTCAGTCTGGGCTAGAGGGGCTAAGGAAAGACTCCCACAGGGGAGGCTCTGCCATCGGAGATTTAGGGGGACGGTGACCCTGGGCTGTGAGAGGGACTGCGGACAGGTGGGCAGCTGTAGCCCTGCCCAGAGCCCAGGTGGAAGCTGGGCTGAGGGACCCTGGATGCTGTGGGCTGAGGTCGTGGACGGGAATCCAGGTTCTGTCCCCTACCTCACAGCTGCTGCTTGCTCACAGTAAAGACTCAGTTCCAGGGCACTCACAGTAAAGATTCAGTTCCAGGGGTCACTGCGTGGTCGGCTCCCCCTCCACTGCCTGTGAGTCCCTGCAGGGCTGCGGTTCCTCCCACCTCTGGAGAGGTGTAAGTAGGGTGCAGGGCCAATGCCCTGCTTCTGAGCGCGTGTGTGTGCCTGCATGTGTGCCTGTATGAGTGTGCATGTGTGTGATATGGGTGGTGCACGTGGAATTCACTGGCATGCCCCACCTTCTAAGGGTGCTTATGTGGGCACATATGTATATGAGGGTGAGGGCATATGTGTGTGTGGTGTGCATATGTGTGAGTGATGAGTATATGTGTGCATGCGTGTGTGCATGTGTGTGTATGCGTGTGTGTTGGGTGTGCGCGTGTGTGTGGTATGTGTGCGTGTGTGTATGTGTGTGCGTGCATGTGTGGTGCAGTGGCACATGGCCTCAGAGCTGGTTCCCGCCTCCCACCCTGAGTGACTGATTTTCCTGACCCTGAAGGGAACAGACCAGCTGAGGAATGAATGAAAAGTGAATGCAGAGACGGTTTCCTATGGAAAGGGTTGGGGTCCTTGGGACCTCCACGATGTTTGTGGACCAGAACTTAACATCTGCTCTGTTCACCCAGATCATAGCTTCCTGCTGTTCTCCCGAAGCCCACAACTCTCCCGAACCCCCCGCCCAGTTCTCCCAAAGCCCCCGACTCTCCCTAAGCCCTCCTGACTCTCCCAAAGCCCCCTGACTCTCCCGAAGCCCCAACTCTCCTGAACCCCCCAAATCTCTTGAAGCCCCCCTGACTCTCCCAAAGTCCCCCTGACTCTCTTGAACCCCCCCAATTCTCTCAAAGCCCCGTGACTCTCCCGAAGCCCCCCTGACTCTCCCGAAGTCCCCCTGACTCTCCCAAAGCCCCAACTCTCCTGAAGCCCCCAGCCCTCCTCTCCCAAAGACCCCTGGCCCTCCTGAAGAACCCAACTCTCCCAAAGCCCTAACTTTCCCAAAGCCCCCAACTCCCCTGAAGCCCCCAGCTCCCCCAAAGCCCCAACTCTCCCGAAGCCCCCTGACTCCCCCAAAGCCCCAACTCCCCCGAAGCCCCCAACTCGAAGACCCCCCCTGCCCCTGCAGTGTGCAGCCTGTGAGCCCCCGTGCCTTCCTTGCAGGCTCCACGCCGCTGAGCTTCCTGGTGCTGGTGACGGGCTGCACGTCGGTGGGCCGCGTGCCCGAGGCAGAGATCTTCAAGGTCACGGCCACCGACTTCTTCCCGCTCCAGGGCGAGACGCGGGAGGACGAGCGCCTGGCAGCCCTGAGGAAGATCCTCAACTCGGGCGTCTTCTACTTCGCGTGGTCCAACGAGGGCTCGAGCTTCGACCTCACGGTGCGCGCCCAGAAGCAGGGGGACGGCTCGGACGAGTGGGGGAACTCCTTCTTCTGGTGAGCGCCCGCCCCTCACCCCCGAACTCTGGTCCCCCTCCCCCGGCCACCAGGACCCGGAGAGCACCAGCCTCCTCCGGCCACCCCCAGGTTCTCCCGCCCACCCCCTCCCTGGGCCCAGAGGTGCATACCGGCCCCAGCAGCTGCTTCCGGGGTCTCCTGGCAGTGCTGTCCGTGGGCCAGTACTTGCCGTGGTGCTTAGAAGGCGCCAGAGCTCCACTCAGGCCCTCCTGGTGATGGCCATTGGGGGTCCACTCTCCCCATTGGTCAGGTGAGGGGACTGAGCCCAGGTTAGTCATCATGAGAGCCCGTCCCTCCTGTCCAGGGGATGTGAGCAGGTCCCAAAGGCCAGCCCAAGGGCGCTGTATTTCTTTTTATTTTCTTTCTTTCTTTTTTTTTTTTTTTTTTAGGTTTTTGGGTCACATCCAGATATGCACAGGGGTTACTCCTGGCTCTGCACTCAGGAATTGCTCCTGGTGGTGCTCGGGGGACCATATGGGATGCTGGGAATCGAACCCGGGTCGGCCACGTGCAAGGCAAACACTGTGCTATCGCTCCAGCCCCTCTGTGTTTCTTTATTTTGGAGCGATAGCACAGCGGTAGGGCGTTTGCCTTGCACGCAGCCAACATGGCCGACCCGAGTTCGATTCCTCCGCCCCTCTCGGAGAGCCTGGCAAGCTACCGAGAGTATCCCGCCTGCACGGCAGGGCCTGGCAAGCTCCCCGTGACATATTCAATATGCCAAACACAGTAACAACAAATCTCACGAAGGAGACGTTACTGGGCCTGCTCGAGCAAATCGATGAACAACGGGAGGACCGTGATGTTTTGGTTTTGAGCCACACCTGGCTGTGCTCAGGGGTCACACCTGGCAGGTCTTGGTGGGCCATATGTGGTGCCAGGAATCGACCCCAGCTTGGCCGGCTGCGAGGCAAGTGCCCTGCGCTGAGCTCCCTCTGGCCTCGGATGCTGTGACCCAGCCGGATGCTCCCTCGTGAACGTGGCACCTGCACATTGCCCCTAACTGGACAGCCCCTCTGCCTCTCCGTGGGCCCAGGGTTCTGGGGACGCTGCCAGATTTGGGGGAGGGGGTGGCGTGGCCCCTGGGCCACACAGAGGCCTGAGCAGAGCTGTCTGGGGTCTCCAGATGCCAAGTGGGCCTGGAGCAGGAGGGGTGAGCACGGCTCTAGAGAGCTTGCAACAGGAGCATGAGGACAGCGGGTCAGGAACTTACCTGCACGCTGCCGACCCAGGCTCGATCCCCCGAGCACTGCCAGGAGTGGTCCTGAGTGCAGAGCCAGGAGAAACCCCAAAGCATCGCTGGGTGCACCCGCCCCCCCCAAAAAAAATGATTGCAACATACTTCTGGGACAAGATGCCCCTGCAATCCAGTTGGGGCTGCATTACCCCTGGCTGTGACTCCGGCCTGACAGGGCCCCCCACACCCTCTGTGGGGCCTCGCTCCCTGCGACCCACAGCTGCCATGAATGAGTTTCTGGCTTCTTGTCAGAGAGGGGAGGACCACCATGGGAGAACACCATGGCCCATGACCTTGCACATCCCCACCCCCCTGCACGAGCCTCTTAGGGTCTCTACCCCAGTTTGAAACGCCGGGACTTTCCCCACTGGGCTTGCTCAAGGGCCGGTTCTGATCCGCGGGGCCCAGGACTCAGCATTTGGGGCAAGTGGCTGCTGATATGGCTGGGGACCCCTCGAAGCACAGGTAGGGGGTCCTTTGCATCTCCAGGGCCAGCTGCTGCCCCTGAGAGCAGCTGAGGGCTGGGGGTCACGGTGACGAAGGGTCTCAGTGCGGGGCCGTGGGCCCAGGTCCAGCCCCGACAGTTGGGTGGGCAGGGGGGCACCCTCGGTGGCTGCGTGTCCATCAGATCTGCCTGGGGACTGGACCCCTCTCCTGGGGGCTCTGGGGGAGGACAGAGGCCCCAGAACTAGTGAGAGCAAAGACCAAGAGAACCCTGGAGGCGCCAGGTGGACCCAGCGCTGAGAGGGGGTTGCAGGCCCCAGAACGGCAACCCCAGGATCAGCCCGCCCTCGGGGTCAGGGCCTGCCCTAAACCCATCCTGGAGGGGCCGCCCACCAGGTCCTCCATCCACGGGGAACTGAAACAACCATGGCAGGGTGGGCACAGGGTGTGTCAACAAGGCGGGAGGGACAGCAAGCCACTGTCCTCAGTGGACTTGGGGGCTTGGCTCCTGGGCCAGTTCAGGCCAGCGTGACAGTGACCCAGGCGCGCCCACACGTGCCCCGGCCATAGGAGGCTCCCCGTGCGCCTGGTGATGATGGGCACCCGGGCACGCAGGCAGCACCCTGGAAGCTTCTGCGGGTTTAGTCTGGAATGTGCTGCCCACCTGCTCTGTGCATGTGCGCACGCGTGCCCATGGCTGATCTCCAGACGGGATGAGTCGCGGGAAGCGACCCCAGACTCATTTCTGAAACAACCAGATGGGGCCTGAGGGCTCAGAGAAGAGCCACGGGAGGCAGGGGCAGGGGGTCCTGGCAGGGAGTGGCTGCAGGCCAGGGAGTGTGTGCGTGTGTGTGTGTGTGTGTGCGTGTGTGTGTGTGTGTGTGTGTGTGTGTATGTGTGTGTGTGTGTGTAGGATGCACACAGGGCGAGCTCAGTCCAGAGTGCCACATGGAGGGGCGGGGTCCCCAGGATGGAGCAAGCTGAACCTTCAGATCCAGTTTGCTGAGCACCTTGGCAGGGACCCCTGAGATGGTTCTTGTCTCCCTACTGGTGTTAGGGACCTCAGGATGGCCCTGCTGGCCCCTGGGCATCCCATGTGGACCCCAGAAACAGCGCTGATGCCTGGGACCCCTGAGGCCACGCTCTTCTGAGGCCACGCTTCCTAGAGGTACACTGGAAGGGAGCACCTCATCCGGAGGGGTGCAGCGGATGGGGGCTCATCAGGGAGGGCAGGCTGCAGGCCCCTGAGGAGCGGCAGCTGAGGCCTGAACAGCACATGGCTGCTCGGCCTCTGTCTGTGTGCCACGCTCAAGGGTGCTCAGGTGACTCCCAGCTCTGTGCTCGGGGCTCACTCTCGGCTCTGTGCTCGGGGCTCACTCTCGGCCCTGTGCTCGGGGATCACTCTCGGCTCTGTGCTCAGGGATTACTCCCGGCTCTGTGCTCGGGGCTCACTCCTGAATCTGTGCTCAGGGGTTACTCCTGGCTCTGTGCTTGGGGATCACTCCTGGCTCTGTGCTCAGGACTCACTCCTGGCTCTGTGCTCAGGACTCACTCCTGGCTTTGTGCTCGGGACTCACTCCTGGCTCTGTGCTCAGGGATTATTCCTGGCTCTATGCTTGGGGATCACTCCTGGCTCTGTGCTCGGGACTCACTCCTGGCTCTGTGCTCAGGGATTATTCCTGGCTCTGTGCTCAGGACTCACTCCTGGCTCTGTGCTCGGGACTCACTCCTGGCTCTGTGCTCAGGGATTATTCCTGGCTCTGTGCTCAGGACTCACTCCTGGCTCTGTGCTCGGGACTCACTCCTGGCTCTGTGCTCAGGGATTATTCCTGGCTCTATGCTCGGGGATCACTCCTGGCTCTGTGCTCGGGGCTCACTCCTGAATCTGTGCTCAGGACTCACTCCTGGCTCTGTGCTCAGGGATCACTCCTGGCTCTGTGCTCAGGAGTGCCCCCTGGTGGTGCTGCAGGGATGATGAGGGACTGAGGATTGAGCCAGGGGTGACCGCTTGCAAGTCCTGGGCCGGATCCCCTGAACTGCCTCTCTGGGACACAGCGCTGCTGTTCCTTGGTTTGGAAAACGGGCTGCTTTCCCGATGAAGGGAGTCTGTTCGGTCCGAGCACTCGTGCACTCGGTGGTGCTGGCCACCAGGGTCCCCGGCAGCTGGGAGGGAGGTGCTGGCCTTTGTCTTCATCACAGCCCTTCCTGTTGACTCGTCCGGCTTTGGGCTGCGAGCACTGACACTTGCCTCCTGAGCTGTGGATTTGACCGAAACGAGCATCCTTCTATTTCAGATATTTTTACGACGGCTTTGGCCATTTCTCATAATTCTACAATTACGTATATATTATTATAAGCTATAAAAGTGTATCATCATACTTCTCACAGGTGGGACCCGGGCTCCAAGCAGGCGGGGCCCTGGCCCTGGTGGGCGGGCCTCCGCCGCCCCGAGCTGCGATTGGCTCCCGGGCGGTCCCCCTCCCCGCCCGGTCCTTGGGGTCCCCCTGAGCGCGCGTCTGTCGCAGGAACCAGCTGCTGCACGTGCCGCTGCGGCGCCAGCAGGTGAGCTGCTGCGACTGGCTGCTGAAGGTCATCTGCGGGGTGGTGGCCATCCGCACGGTGTACGCGGCGCACCGGCAGGCCAAGGCCTGTCTCATCTCCCGCATCAGCTGCGAGCGCGCCGGCGCCCGCTTCCACACGCGCGGCGTCAACGACGATGGCCACGTGTCCAACTTCGTGGAGACCGAGCAGGTCAGTGCCCGCACTGCGCGTCTCGGACTCCTCCTCCTCCTCCTCCTCCTCCTCCTCCTCCTCCTCCTCCTCCTCCGACCCCTCCTCCCCCTCTTCCTCCTCTTTCTTTTCCTCTTCTTCCTCCTCTTCCTCTTTCTTCTTCTCTTCCTCCCCCTTCCCCCTCCTCCCCCTCCCCCTCCTCCTCTTTCTTTTCCTCTTCTTCCTCCTCCTCTTCCTCCTTCTTCTCCTCCTCCTCCTCCCCCTCCTCCTCCTCCTCTTTCTTTTCCTCTTCTTCCTCCTCCTCCTCCTCCCCTCTTCCTCTTCCTCTTCTTCCTCCTCCTCCTCCTCCTTCTCCTCCTCCTCCTCCGACCCCTCCTCCCCCTCTTCCTCCTCTTTCTTTTCCTCTTCTTCCTCCTCCTCTTCCTCCTTCTTCTCCTCCTCCTCCTCCTCCCCCTCCTCCTCCTCCTCTTTCTTTTCCTCTTCTTCCTCCTCCTCCTCCTCCCCTCTTCCTCTTCCTCTTCTTCCTCCTCCTCCTCTTCCTCCTCCTCTTCCTCTTTCTTCTCCTCCTCCTCCTCTTCCTCCTCCTCCCCTTCCTCCTCCTCCCCTTCTTCCTCCTCCTCTTCTTCCTCCTCCTCTTCCTCTTCTCCTCCTCTTCCTCCTCCTCCCCTTCTTCCTCCTCCCCTTCCTCCTCCTCTTCTTCCTCCTCCTCCTCTTCCTCTTCTCCTTTTCTTCCTCCTCCCCTTCTTCCTCCTCCTCTTCTTCCTCCTCCTCCTCTTCCTCTTCCTCCGCCTCCCCTTCTTCTTCCTCATCTTCTTCCTCCTCCTCTTCCTCTTTCTTCTTTTCCTCCTCCTTCTCATCCTCCTCTTCCTCCCCCTCTTTCTCTCACTCCTCCTCCCTCTCCTCCTTCTTCTCCCCTTCTCTTCTTTCTCATCTTCTTTCTCCTCCTCCTCTTCCTCTTGCTCTTTCTCCTTTCTCCTCCTCCTCTCCCTCCCCCTCCTCCCCTCATTATCCTTCCTCCCTCTTCTTCCTCCTCTCCTCTCCCCCTTCCCTTCCTCTCCCTTGTCATCCTCCCTCCCTCCTCCTCTCCCTCCTCATCTTCCTCCTCCTTCTTCCCTCTTCCTCTCCCTCCCCTCCTCCTTGTCTCTCCTGGGAAGGCAGGGGAGAGGACCAGCCTGGTTTTGGGGCCATGACCAGTACCCCTAATGGTGGTGGGGTCAGTGAGTGGACGGGAACCACCTAGGTGTCATCTGCAAAGGTGTTGCAGGCTCAGCCGCCTCTGACCCTCTCTGGACGTCCGGGTGACTCTGGTCTCAGGGCTGGGACCCCCAGGTCACCCCCTTTGCCCCCACCCAGGCCCTCCTTTCCAGAAGGACTCAGTCATTTGGGATGCAGAACCCCTCCCCATCTTAATCTCTGCAGTGACTAAGGGTGGGCCATAGTCCAGGGTGCTGGGGGTTGCCCCTGGGGGGCTGGGATTCGGCTCATAGCAGGACCCTCAGAGTCGGTGCCCGGTGTCCATCCTAGGACAAGCGTGCAGACGTGGAGCCTGTGTCCTGTGCCCTCTGCTCCCAGGACGGGCTGGGCCGTGGAACTGGCCGTGCCTCTTGTCCCCACATCTTCCCGCCTGTTTCCGTGATGCGAGCCCCGCCTGCTGCCCCCAGACACGGGGATTCCAAGCTCACTTGCTGCGTCCTGGGTCCCCCCAGAGCGGCACAGCTCCCCGTCTTGGGACAGCTTGGGCCCAGCCTTGGCCAGACTGCTGTCCTGTTGCTTTGGGCTATACCCCCAGAGGAGGGACTCCCCCACTTCCTGCACGTGTCCGTGTTTCCTCTGACCCCCTTCCTCCTGGTCCCCTGTTCTGACCCTCGCCACTGGCTGTCTGCCCGGAGGGAAGGAGACAGCTCTATGCCATGCTCATCAGTCATCAGCCAGGGGAAACTGAGGCTGGAACCGTGGCGTGGGGGTGGGCGCAGGCCATCTTGGCCCAGATTCTGCTTCTCCCCAGGGAACCTGGGGACTCTTGTCACATCTGCAGGTGACACCCCCCCCCTCCCTATACTCTGTGCCTGGGAAGGAAAAGAAACCCAACCCTGGTGTCCGCTGGCCGGGTCAGTCCTGCTAGCCCACTGTGCAGATGGGCGTGCATCGGACGGGGATGTTTCAGAGGGATCGCTCTCCCTCCCCGGGGGTCCTGCATCCCTGGTCTCCTCCCGCCCCCTCCCCCCACCCCCTTTCTCCTTAGCGCCTGGAGACGGGCTGTGGGCACCTCTGGGTGCCGAGGGCAGACGCTTCTGCCTGGAGCAGATGCTCGGCCCCGTGCCGGTGTCTTCCATGCAGCTGGGGGCTCGGTGTTCCCCAGCCCCAGGGGTGAGCGTCAGATTTCCCGGCAACCCCCAGCGCCCACAGGGCCAGACAAGCTGCCACTCCTGTGTTTCTTGGTAGAAGAACGAAGAGCACACGCGGTCCCCCAGCCAATCTCAGCCCAGAGACGAGATGCCAGAGCTGCCCTTGGCGGGAGGATGGCCGGCGCCCCAGATGCCTCCTGCCCGGGAGCCGGCCCGCGGGTCTCGCTGGCAGCGCCTGCCCGGGTGATCTGAGCGTGGCATCTGACCTACATGCGGCGGCCGTGGAGGGAAGGAGCTGCCGGCCTGCCGGCGGCTCGAATTACCCAGATAAAGGGCAGGACAGCTGACCACCGCCGCCACCCTCCCCGCGTGATGCCCGCGCCTGTCCTCTCCAGCCTCGGAAATGTCCCTTGTTGCGGCTGGAATTGAGGGCCATTGCGGGCGGGTTGAGACATTGGCACATTCCGGAAGAAGCGGGGTGGGGGTGCGGGGTGGCAGGGTTTTCCATGTCACAAGTCTCAGAGCAGGTGCCATGGCCCACAGTTGCTATGGAAACCGGGGCGTGGGCGGCGTGTTCGGGAACACCGTGGCCGAGGCCGAGGACCAAGCCCAGGTTCAGGTTGGGTCTTGGCTGGGCTCCGCAGCTCTGACGCGCGCCCTGGGCTCCGTCACCCTCTGCCACCTCCGGAGGCCTCGGGAAGCCTCGTTCAAATGAGAGCGTGCGGGGCCCGACTCCCGCACAGGGGTGAGCGCGGGGGACACCAGTCCTCAAATGAGAGCTGGGCAGGGCGCACCTCCCCCCCCCCCAGCGCCTGCACCCCCCGGGGACCAGGGATGGGCAGAGGGTGAGGAAGGCCAGTGCCCGCCCCTTTGAGCTGCTGGTGTCGGCTCTCAGCGGGCCGGATCTGGTTACCCAGGCTCAGGACGGTCGGTTTCATTGAAGAATACCTCTCTCTCTCTCTCTCTCTCTCTCTCTCTCTCTCTCTCTCTCTCTCTCTCTCCCTCTCTCTCCCTCTCCCTCTCTCCCTCCTCCCCGTGCAGACCATTTACATGGATGATGGAGTTTCGTCTTTTGTCCAGCTCCGAGGCTCCGTCCCGTTGTTTTGGGAGCAGCCAGGCCTCCAGGTACGTCTGTCCCCTCCGTCACTGAGACTTCTCTCTCCCGCAGACGGCTTCTTTGCAAGAGCAAACTCCGCCTCTTCCATGGCACCACTGTGGGTCCTCCCCATGTCCAGCTGTGTGGGGCCACGCTGTCCCCTGCACATCCGTGTGCACGTGTGGAGTATGTGTGTGTGTGTGTGTGTGTGTGTGTGTGTGTGTGTGTGCGTGCGTGGGCTCGCTGTGTCGGTGCGATGTGCCGGGGGCGAGCCGTCTAAGAGACCCCCTTGCGTGATCCGAGAGAAGCGACCAGAGTTTAGACCCCTGAGTCCAAGAGCTACGTGTCAGGATCGTGCACAGCTTGGCCTGTTGGCCACCGTCGGACCCTTGGGTGTGGGCTGGGGCCTGGCCGCCCAGTGGAGCGGGGCTTCCAGGTGCCTGGGCAGAGTTTTCCCAGGATTTCTAAAAATAAACCTCACGGTCCCCATCTGGGTCCTAGGCAGTGCCAGAGGCATTTGGGGCTCTGGCCTGGGAAGGCCCAGTGCTGGCCCAAGAACAAACACAGTTGTCGTCAGAGGGCAGCTCAGGAGGAGGCTGGGCCGTCCAGGGACTCCAGCCCACATCTCCTTGGGCCTGCTGGGCCGGGTCACTCGGGCTCAGCCTGCCGAGGGCCATAAGGGAGGACCCTGGGGGACTCAGAGTGACCGTGGTGCCAGCTCTTGCGATTTGGCCCGGCTGGGTTTCCTCCAGCCCTTGGCCTGACCCCTACCTGCAAGGGGCACTTTGTCCGCCCTGACCAGGCGTGTCCAGAGCTAGACCAGCTCTAGGGTGACGTGGAGGGGGAAGGCCTGCTGGGCGCTGTCTCATCAGGAAGGGGCAGCAAGACGGGCTGGCTAGCAGGACTCAGTGGCCACAGTGGCTGAAGCACTTGTCTTTCTTCCAGAACTGTCCTCTGTAGTGACTCTGTGGCCTGTGATTGATGTGTCATTGACATGTAACCGACACATCACTGCCATGTATATGACGTGTTATTGACAGGCCTAACCAGGCCATGTTGGAGAGCTTGTTGGTCAGTCGGTGGGGAGTCCTGTCCATCCACATAGTCTTGTTCAGCGCCTTTTCTCCTGCTTTAAAATCTCTCTGCCGGCTGCAGGCCTGCCTGCCCCTGTCCCCCCCTCCCTGGGGCCCAAGCACTGTCCTGCCCCCCCCCCCCCCCCCGCCGCCTCTGGGTTTCCTACTCTGGGCACCTGAAGCTGGGTTCCCATCAGCTGTGCGTCAATGGAGCGGGCATGGGAGAAGGGCAGAGAAGACCGCGGCATGTGTGCAAACACGAGGGCCTTGTTGGAGCCTGGGCACCCGCTTCGGGCCACCCTACCAGCTCCTCTGGGCCGAGACGTGCTGTGGGGGTGGTTTGTCCTGCCTGCAGGGTGCCCCGGGCTTGAGAGCACCAGGGGAAGTTGTTCTTCAGACCTCTCTGGAGGGAAGGGTCCCCGTTCTCCGCTTCTGGCTCTGCGTGCGTTTCTCCAGGCGCTCCTGGCCGCCTGGTTCCCCTCTCCCTTCCCAGACTCCCCCCTACGAGCAAAGCCAAGCCTCTTCGTCCTTCCCTTCTTCACGTGCTTGACTGTTGGGATGCTCTAGATGGACCCTTCACGGGGCAGCGGGGCAGGCTCGCATGGCAAGGGCAGTGTCAGTGGACATGGGGCGGACACAGATCCCCGTCTGCCTCACACCCTGTGGCTCCTTGTACTTTGCCAGTCTCTGTGGCTGTTTCAAAAAAAAAAAAAAATCAGCTTCAAGCGCTGGAATGTTGGGAGCAGAGAGCCAGGACAGCGCCAAGGGCGCTTGCCTTGCACGCAGCTGGCCTGGGTCTGATGCCGAGAACTGCATCTGGTCCCCCGAGGGACCACCACCAGGCAGTGATCCCGGAGCACAGAGCCGGGAGTCAGCCCCGAGCACTGCCAGCATGGTCCTCAAACGAGCAAAAGGCTGTGGTATTGATTAGTTCTGTACGAATTTGCTCGTCTCGTGCCCTCCACTCCACCAGCCCCCCTGGCAGACCCCAGAGGGAGCCCAAGTCTTGCTTCCGGTTGGTTCCCTCCACTCCAGAACGTTTCCTTCCGTCTTCGGTTAGATAAGAAATGGCAGAGACTTGGGGGTGATTCGCCACTCTGCATCCTTTTGGGGCGGCCCCAGAGAATGGTCTGAGCCCTCGGGGGCAGGGGGGCTAGAGACGGGGTCTGGCCAAGCAGACGGCGGGGTTGGGGAGGATCTGCCTTCCCGTTTCGATGGGAACGGCACCCGCCTTCAGACCCCGAACTCCCAGCCACTCCCGGCGCCCCTGCACCTGGAACATCTTTCCCGTGTAAATAGGTTTACAGGCTGTGTTTATAAATAGCCACACGCTGAAATTCACCCTCCGCTCTGATCGCTGCTGTCTCCGTTCCTCACCGAGTTTATTTTCGGCTGCCGTGAGCCTGGTGAAGATTCTGCTCCCCCCCCCCCCCACTTCTCACTTAAGCCTCTCCCTCCCCGCACGCCCCCCACCACCACCACCCCACCAGGCCTCTGCAGATGGTCGCTTCCCGCAAAGGTGAGTCCTGAGTTTGGTGCTTCCTGTGACTCAGCATCCGGGGGAGGTGAGGCCTGCTCCCCCGGGCCTGCGTGCATCTGTCTGTTCGTCCGTCCGTCCGTCCGCCTCCTCCCTGTTGACTCGGGGACGGTGTGTGCTGGTCAGCGTCAGAGGTGGCTGCTTGCGCGGTGGTTGGAGCAGGGCAGGTGACTCAAGGGACACGGGTGGGTCAGGGTTCAGCCCCCCACCCACGCTGCACCCAGGCATTCAGGCCCTTTGCTCCCCGAGGGGCCGAGGTGTTCAGCGCGTCTCCTCTGACCTCACGGGGTCCTGGCTTCCGGCGCACCTGCTTGTCCCCTGCCCAGTCTCAAGGTGCTCTTAGGTCAAAGGCATTTGACCTTTGCCCTGCCTTCGCTCCTTCGGAGGCCCCAGGCCTGGGAGGTGCAGAGGACCCCCGGGGTGTTACTTAGGGGGGCCAGAACTGACAGGACAGGAAGTGGTGATTGAAGACAGACACACACGGTTGCTGTCTGTGGGGCTGTGTGGGCCTCTGCGTCTTGGGGGCAGCTTCCCTGGGCTCGGGGCTTGGACCTCCATCCTCTCTCTGCCCGCCAATGTCTGGGAGACCCTGCCCCCCCCCCCCCCCAGGGCTCAGTCCCCAATGCCCTGAGGCCTGGGGGCATGTGTGCAGCTGACCAGGGACGAGCCCAGGCCAGCAGGGGCCACAGGCAGGGGCAAGCCAGCGCTGTGACAGTACAGAAGGCCGAGACCTCTGCTGGCACCCCAGATTTGCTGCCCGGCAGAGCAAGCTGCTGCCCAGGGATAGGCCAGTCGGGCAGTGTCTGCCGTGGGCACTGGCACCAGTGTTGGCAAGCGAGCGACTCGGAGCAGCGCTGCTCACCCATGTCCACCTGTGCCAAGGGCCCAGAGGGCACAGACTCGGTGGCAGCATTTTGGGGATGTCAAGGGTCATGGCACTGTCGCTCACTGCCGGGAGCTGCGTCCTGCCTCAGTGTCCCCAGTGTGTTCTTTCATTATTTATCGTCCTGGGGGAGGGCAGGATCGACCGGCGCTGGCAGCCTGGCCTGGGGCGGGCACATGCAGGGAAGAGTTCAGGGTGAGGGAGTGAGGGGGTGAGGGTGCGTGGGGGCTCCCAGCAGACGGCTTCATACCAGGCCTGACCGCAACCCCCCCCTACACACACTCACCAGGCCCCGCCGCTGCCTACAGGCCGAGCCAGTGACCGGCCAGGTGTCCCCGGGCCAGGGGCAGAGGGTGACTCAGAACAGCTGTCATTGCTCCAGGCGGGGGCCAGCCCGGGCTTCACCCCTCCCCGCACACACTCCCGGGGACACTCGGGCCCGATGTGACCCCAGAGCAGAACTTAGGCCTGTGTCAGGGGACAGAGGGCTTCAGGGAGCCAGGGGGAGGTGGAGGAGCAGTACCGGGCTGAGGGCAGATGGCACAGGAGGCCAGAGCTGTGCAGGTGTGGGTACCCCCCACCCCAGCACAGCCCTCGCTGCTGGGAGCCCCCTCAGGTGTTGGCTTCTGAGCAAGAGGAGGAGGCTGACGGCAGCTCCGACATGTGTGTGCTTGAGCCCGTGTGAGACCCATGGCCCGTGGGCACCGCAGCCGCTGGCCCAGAGGGACCGGCCCCATGCGCCCATTGCACTGGGCCCCGAGAACTGCCCTGGTGACTCTGGACCCACAGACAGGCAGAAACTACCTGGGCAGACGGCCCCATCCCCAGGCGTCTCAGTGTCCTGTCGGCCACCCTCATCACTCCTACGGGGAGCACTCCAGTTCCCCTCCATGGGGCTGGCATCGTGCTGGTAGTCAACTCTGTGGCACTGTGCCTTCTGCACCCTGCAGGACTGCCCAGGAATTCTCAGCCATGTTCCTTATGCTGCCACGATTTAACATGAAGCCACATTTGGGTGTGAGCCACCGGTGGTACACACCAGTATTAACGGGTAGAACAGAAGGTTGCTCGTGGCGGGGCCTCTTGGTGTTTCATTGTGAGGGGGTGTGGGGTCCGGCGTGCAGGTCAGAATCCTGCCTGGTGTGTCCTGGTCCCAAGGTCACGCTGCTGCTGATGGCCGAGGGCATGGCCTGGCCGGGCTGCTGGCCGGTGTCCCCGCTCCTGGCGCTGTTTCCCTGACGCTCTCCTGGAGATTCCAGGACCACGGAGTCTGCCACATGCACCTTGCCCTTCAGGTGGAAGGTCCTGGGCACTGGGCGTGGTGCTGTGGGGATGGTCCCCACCTCCCTGCTCTCCACAGGGGTCCTTGTGAAGAGCCTCCCTTCTCCCCTGTGCCCCCACGACGAGCCGCCCGCCTGTCCCCCTGCCCGCCTGTCCCTACACGCACCCACCTGCTTATCTATCCTCCCTTGCACCCTTGCACCTGCCATCCGTCATTCACCCATCTGTTGTCTGTCCATCTCTCCGTGCGTCCCTCCACCCAGCCCTTCACTGACACGTCTCTCCATCCAGTCACCTATCCGTGCACCCCACCCTCCCTTCCTTCACCATCCCCCCATGGCTCGTCCACCCATCCACCTGGCCATCTGTCAGTCTGACTGGCTGTCCATCTGTCCTTCCATCCCTGCCTACAACCAGCCAGCCAGCCAGCTCTCATCTGGATAGCTTCCTGGATTCTGTGCGTGCGTGTGTGTGTGTGTGTGTGTGTGTGTGTGTGCATGTGCGCATGCCTCCGAGTAGTGTTCAGAGAGCGTGGGGCCCTCTCCCGGTGATGCTCGGCCAACTTTGCTTGACTTACTGGTCCAGCGATGCTGGGGAGGCAGCCCGGGGCCTGCCCAGCCCTCTGAGTGGCCTCCTGGCCCACGTGGAAGCCTGTTCTGCTCCTCACGTTATTAGCCGTTGCTGGCTTTATGTAATTCAGTGTTCAGCCTGTCCCAGATTTGCCCGGAGACACCGCTGCGGGCCGGCTCTGGTGACAGCGTGGAACTGTGTATATTTATGATCGCCCTCTGTGAACTGGGTCACTCTTGATAGTTGAGCAAATCAGGTTGCAGGCTGGAAATGCTCCGGTTCGGGGGCAGCCGCGGTCCCTGGGCGGTGGGGGAAATGGGAGAGCGGCATCTCCCCCGGCCAGCTGGGCACCCCTGCACCCTCGGAGAGGTGGGGGCTTGGCCTCACCCTCCGGGTCCCCCCAGGCAGCCCCTCATCTGCAGAAAGCTGCCACTGGCAGTTTGGACTTGCCCCCCTTGGACCTGGGTGTGGGCCTCCGTGGCCGAGTGGAGGTTGGGGTGCCGCAGCCCCTGGCTTGGTGGAGCAGGGGCGATTTCCCGTGTCCCTTCTCATGCTTGCAGGTCGGATCCCATCATCTGAGGCTCAACCGAGGCCTGGAAGCCAACGCCCCCGCCTTCGACAGGTAGGGGCTTCCGATGGTGGCGACGTGCGTGGGCCTTTACACAGAGGGGACTCGGGAGGGAGGGATTGACAGGGGGTCCCACCTGCGACTCCCAGCCAACCCTGAGGATGGGGTGCTGCTGGGCCCCGCAGTGCTGGGGCCTCCGGGCCTGCACCCAGAGATGCTTGGGGGGTCCGTGGGGGGCCGGGATACACCTCCCGGCTGGGCACATGCCAGTGAGTGCCCTCCATCCCTAAGAGGTGGGATTTCGTTTGCTTGTTTTGGCTTTGAAGCCACCTTTGGGGGTATTCGGGTCTCGCTCCTGGTTCTGCTCTTGGGGATCTCTCCTGCGGAAGCTTGGGGTGCTGTGAGCAGGGCAGGCGCCCCGCCTGCTGGGCTAGGGGCTTCTCACGGCTCTGGGGACTCCTGAAGTGTCAGGAACGCTGTCTAGGCAATACTTGTTAGTTTTCCTAAAATAGATGAACTTATGACTAGCTAAGTCATCTAATGTTTTATCTCACCAGTCCTTTCCTTGATAAAGCCTTTTCCACATGTCCTGGATAATAAGGGATATTTGAAATGATAGGATGCTCATTGCTATTGGTTTTGTGCTTCAAGGAACACCCCCAGGTTTTCCAGAGTCACATGGTGGTGGGCTTGTAGCTCAGTGGTGTGTGGGGCGCAGATTGGGGGTGACGGTGCTCTGAGCTCTGTTCCCAGCACTGCAAACAAACAAAGCCTCAACTTTGTATGAGTAAAAGGTTCTGGTGTAGAAAGATGTGGAGAGACTGGACCCGGGCAATACAGCAGGCGGGGTGCTTACCCCGCAAGCAACTGGTCTGTGTCCATCCCCAGCACCCCAGTGGTCCCCAAGCACCAGGAGTGATCCCTGAGTACAGACGCAGGAGTAACCCCTGAGCATCCCCGGATGTGGCCTAAAAACTAAAAAAAAAAAAAAGGCATAAAATGAGAAGCGAATGTATACTCGCTGCCAATTTCCTTTATGAGATTTTACTGTTTAATGAAATAATAATGTGTTTATGTATCATTCTGGGGGAAAAATGTTGGCACGTATGTAGTTCATTTTTTTTAAATCAAATCATAACAGTTTCATAACTCGCTGAAGTAATGCCATTAGCTGAAGTATTAGTAATTCAAATATTTTAATAACTCCTTCAAAATATTTGCCTTAAAAATTAAAATTGAATCATCGGGTCAAGGGGAAAGAGAAAAAGGAAAAAGGACTCAGAGGGTCCAATTTTCTTTCGTTTTGTTCCGGGCTCTACCCAGCAGTGCTCAGGGTTTAACTCCCAGCCCCCTCCTCCCCCCACACACACATACACACACAGTACAGCAGGTAGCATGCTTGCCTGGCATACAGCTGACCTTGGTTTCAGTCCCTGGCATCCTATATGGTCCCTCAAGCCCTGCAAGGAGTGATGCCTTAGCACAGAGCTCACACACACACACACACACACACACACACACACACACACACACGAAGTGTTGGGCTGGGGAGACAGTTCAGAGAGCTGGTGCAGTGCCCACACGCATGAGCTCATGAGTGCCTGAGAGGATGCCCCGGCCCCACGGGTCTCGCTCCGCACCAGGCCTGGCCCTGTGGCCTCCCGCATTCCTGAGTCTGAGCTCCATGCCATTCCCCCCTCCCCCCCTCACGCACACAGTTGGCCAAGTATCCCTGGCAGAGGTGCCGGGCCCCTCTGAGCACTGCTGGGAAGTACCTCCCAGATGGTGTCTAAAGGTTCTCAAAACAGCAGACTGCCAGCCCTGGGGCCTGAAGCAAGGGCCGCCTGCTCTGGGCCAGCCGAGGGACCACCGTTGTATCCTGGCCCCTGTGCCACCAGTGTGCCACGGCATTTGCTGATCTGGGGCTAACACTTATCGGGGGAAGTTGCGCCAGCCTGCAGGAAAAGCTCCCAGTCTGGAGATGTTGGCGCTCCTGGGGTTCCCGTCCCAGGGCTCTGGTAAGCGGGGCTGCCAGCACACCCTGAGGCCCAGCAGCAGAGGGGGTGGGGCTGGCTGCACCCCCACCCCAGCTGTTTCTGAACTGCCCCGGGATACACTCAGAGGGTCCAATTTTGTTTCGTTTTTGTTCTGGGCTCTACCCAGCAGTGCTCAGGGCTTAACTCCCAGCCCCCCCCCCCACGAGTATCAGCAGCCAGCGTCACCCCACACAGACCCTCCCTGGGTGTGAGGGCAAGGATAGCCCTCTCCTGCGATTGCCAAACTCTACTCTGGCTTACATTGAGTTTCTTTCTCTCTTTCCTGCTTGCTTGCTTGCTTGTTTGCGCGCTCTCTCTCTCACTCCTCATCCCCTCTCTCACTCTCTCTCTCGCTCTCTCTCATTCTCTCTCCCCCCTTTCCTCTCTCTCTCCTCTCTGTCTCTGTCTGTCTCTCTGTCTCTGTCTCTGTCTCTGTCTCTCTCTCTCTCTCATTCTCTCTCCCCCTTTTCTCTCTCTCCTCTCTCTTCTCTCTCTCTGTATCTCTCTGTCTCCGTCTCTGTCTCTCTCTCTCTCTCCCTCTCAGTTGTGAGAGCGAGCTGACCCAGCAGTGCTGGGGGCAGAACTCAGGTCCTCACATCTCCCACCTGAGCCCCAGCTGTTAAGTCTTTTTCCTTTTGCCTTTGAGGCTTTGTCCCGGGCTTTCTCCTGGCTCTGCCCTCAGCATCAGCCTCGGGGGGCTCCCCCAGTGCAGACGACCTCTTGCAGCAGCTGGGATCAGCCCGGGTCGGTCACGTGCATCCTTGAACCCTAGTTTTCCATCTGCCTTTTTGCATCTCAGACCCCCCTCCTTTTTTTTTTTTTTTTTTGCAAAGAGAAAGGTGGGGCCCCCGACAGGCCTGCCCGGCTCTGTGGTGGAGAGTGTCTTCCTGAGGCCGGGGCTTTGCTTGGGCTTTCTCAGCCTGGTGTCTGCGGATCTGAGAAGGAAGGGCAGGTGGAACTCAGGATGCGTGTTGGGACATCCCTGTGGCCTGCCAAGGTGCTGTCGGGTCAGGATGCCCAGTGGCGCCTTCTGGACAGCCCTCCCCACTGCAGCCTGTGACGCGTGCTCACGGCGTGTGGGGCGCTCGAGCCCTCACTCTGCGGTAGATGGACAGACAGACTGATGACTTGCCAACGCGCAGACAGGGCGGGGGCTGGCTTTCCTGCCGCCTGATGGGCGACCTGCTCTCTGGCAGCGGGGCTGGGGCGCGGGGTTTCCCCAGCTCTGGGTAAGCATGCGGCCGGCTCCCCCGCAGGCATATGGTGCTCCTGAAGGAGCAGTACGGGAAGCAAGTGGTCGTGAACCTGCTGGGCAGCAGGGGCGGCGAGGACGTCCTCAACAGGGCCTTCAAGGTAGGCGGCCTGCTGGCTTCCGGGGACAGGGTGGGGTCAAGGTCGGCGGCCCTGCTGGCTTCCAGGGCAGGGGTGGGGTCAAGGTCAGAGGGCCTGCTGGTTTCTAGGGACAGGGTGGGGTCAAGGTCAGCAGCCCTGCTGGCTTCTCAGGACAGGGGGTGGTAAACTGCCCTGCTGTCCTGCAGGACAGGGCATGGGGGGAAGGTCAGCAGCCCCGGGTGCAGGGGTGAGAGCTGCTGTCCCTGGGGAGGTTCCTCCACGCCCGGGCAGGAGGGCTGCGGCTCCAGGTCTGTCCCCCCACTGGCTCTCCTGTGTTCCCCTCGGGCCCTGGGGACCCAGGACAGCCGGCCCTTCCCACGCTCGCTCTGGTGGACACACATATCCATAAGGCTGTGCAGGCATGAGAACACAATGTACGTACAAACACAGCACAAAGACACATGCTTCTTCTGCACAGCACGCGGGTTAGAACAACACTCAGGCATGCACAGACAACATGTAGGCATACACAGCACATGTCAGGCATGATACACACAGGCAGACACACAGCACATGTGCACACACACACACACAACAGATACACACGAGCATTGTGCATGCATGCGTACAAATACATGTGCACATGCGTACACACCCAGAGAGCTACATGCAGACACGACGTGCATTAATTCACAAACGTGCAGGCCGACACATAAAATTCACACACACCTAAAATACAGACAACGCGTATGCATACACAACCTGTGCCTGCACAACATACAAATACACGCAAACAGACAACACACCTGAGCACAGGATGCATACACATAATGCGTGTGTGTGTGTGTGTGTGTGTACGCAGCACAGGCTCACAAGCAAAATGCACCGGCAAATAAAACACCTGTGAATAAACCAAAACACCACACATGGAAACACACATGTTCACAAACAGTGCGACTCTGATTAATGTGCAGGCAGCAAATAACAGGCATGCTCAAAACACACATGTGCTAGGACACACAAAGTGTGCGGCATGCATGCAAACACAAGTACCTTGTTGGGGGGACCAGCCCCTCCTTTGCCCCTGGTCCGCCCAGCTGCCGGCCGCCTCCTGCCGTGTGTCCTGCAGTCAGAGGCTGGGGCGCGGCTGGTTTTGTTTTCCCTTTCTTCCGGGTGCAGTGTGGGGTGGAGCCCGGGTCCCTTGTGTGTGCCTGAGCCACATCCCCGCCGCTGCTGGCTTCCTGCTGACTGGGGCTTTCGCATCTCCCCTGGTGAGGGTGGTCCTGGGAGGCTGCGTCTGTGACCGACTCCCCACGCCTCCCTCGCACGTGACCGGGGTAGAGGGTGCAGGGACAGGGAGGTGAGCAAATAGAGGTCCACCTGCCCGCCCCAAGGTCTGTCCGAGGTCAGAGCACCTGTGTGCTTGCCATCTGCCGGCAGAAAGTTCCAGAACGAACTTCCTTTCCCTGTCACCAGTGTCCTCGGCGTTGTGGAGAAGTGGCCTCTGGATGCGGGAAGAGAGTCCCCACCCCCTCCCCCGCATCCCTGCCTCTGACCCCTGGCCTCTGGCTGATGGAAGTGCCTTCAAACTCTTCATTTTCGTTCTGCTTAGACAGTCCAGGTCTGGGGGTTCAGACACCTGCCTACTGAGCCCTTGCTCTGCGTCTGACCCCCCCCCCCACCCCAAGCCTGAGCACAGAGCCAGGAGTAAGCCCTGTGCACTGCCAGCTGTGGCCCAAAAGCCAAAAAGAAAAAAAGAAAAAAGAAAAAAAAAGGTTTCCTGTTGGCACCGCCACTTTGATTTGGCCAGACCTGCTTTTCCTGTTGAGTTTGTTGCTGTTAGCAACCAGCCGGAAGCGGCCTCCTTCCACCCACCTTGCCTCTGTGCTGGCAGCTTATTTTAAGGGAGATTTTTTTTTTCTTTTTTAAAGAATACCCAGAAGTCTCTTCCGCTGTGTGCCTGAGTAAGGGGACCAGTGTGGCCTCAGCTCTCTCATCCGCTGGGTTCTCTGGGCAGTGGGTCGGGCAGGAGGAAGGCGGGGCCACGCTGCTCTCCCGACCACAGCCTGCACCCTCAGGGGTTCTGACGGCTTCCTGTGCAGTTTGGGTGACAGCCTGGGCCAGGGTGCACGTTTCCCCCCCGGGGAGCACAGAGTGGGTCTGTCCACCTCCATCCGAGCAGGTAGCCTGTGCACCCTCATCCCTGGCCCTCAGACGGTTCCCCCTGTGGAAGACCCCACTGCCCTGCACCGCCGCTGCTGCACCAGGTCCGGGTCCAGCGACACATCTCCACCCTGGGCAGCGCCGGTCACAGCAGCTCACTTCCGGGCAGCGGCTGGGCAGAGGCCCTGGACTAGGACTGGGTGCAGCTCGCGGTCCCGCCCCGCCCTGCAGGCCCGGGTGGGGCCCGTTGCCTGGCAGCCCGTCTGGATTATGAGCTCGGCTGGCGGAATGGCACTGACACTCGGTGCCTGAGGAATACGGAGCAGAGAGGCCTGGGGCGCCACAGCTTTTGGCCAGTGCCATCCTCCATGCCGTGGCACACTGGGAGCTGAAGGCCAGCGGGGCCCTGCCCTGCCCTGCCCTGCCCTGCCCGGCCAGCCTCACTCGTGGAGCACCGCGCTGGCCTTGGCGGCCCCGTTCGCCCACCGCTGAGCTGCCAACCTCCACCTCTCCCGTTGCAGAAGCTGCTCTGGGCGTCCTGCCACGCCGGCGACACGCCTATGATCAACTTTGACTTTCACCAGTTGGCCAAAGGCGGGAAGCCCGAGAAACTGGAGAGCCTGCTGGGGCCCCAACTCCAGCTGCATTGCCAGGACTTTGGCGTGTTTGCCAGGGCTGAGCACGGGAGCCCGCGGTGAGTCTGACTCTAGGGGGCGTCCGCGAGGCGGGTGGGGGGGAACGCCAGGAGCTTGCTTCAAATGCAGTCTGGTTTGGGGTGTTCTGGCACTTTCTGCTGAAGGGGGGCGTCAGAGCGCAGGGCCAGAGTGACCATGCTGGCGAGGGTCCCCAGGAATGTGGGGTACGGTGGGCATGCATGGGCAGAGGGGATGGAGCCCCTACAGGGAGCCACTCAGAGGCATGGTAGTTCACACTTCACTGTCCCCTGGTTGGCGTGTACCCCCGGTGGCGCACACTTGACTCTCCCATGGGTGGCAGGGACCGCTCGTGGCTCACACTTAGGTGTGTCATGGGTGGATGTGCCGTGGATGGCATGCGACACCAGTGACATGTCCTGTAGATGGCATGTACCACCAGTCGCTCTCACGTGGATGTCTCATGGATGGCGTGTTCCACCAGTGGCTCACACTTGGAAGCCCTGTGGGTGGCGTGTAATACCGGTTGGTCAGATATTCCATGGGACAGGCTGTCCCAATGGAGATGGTCACTGTTGCCAAAAATTCGCCTGACGCTTGAGTGCCTGAGTTCGGAGCACTATTCATGAAGTCACCGAAGGAGAACTAGGTGGTAGCATCAGTGTCAGTGTGTTGGAATGGTTGCCTGCAGGAGGCTGGGGTTTGATGCTCAGCTCTGAGTGCCCCTCGGCTCCCAGTGCCTCTCGCGCGCCCTGCGGCAGTAAATAAATCAATCCTGCACAGCAGTGCACCGCCCTGGGTCCGCTGTCCAGGGCGAACAGGGGACAGTGCTCAGGGGGTGCTGTCGCCTCTGCCCCTCTGCTAACGGCTCGGTCCTCTCCCCCAAGCTTCCAGAAGGGCACCCTGAGGGTGAACTGCCTCGACTGCCTGGACCGGACCAACACAGTGCAGAGCTTCATTGCCCTCGAGGTCTGTCCCCTGTCTGGGCTGGCCATGGGCCCTGACTCCCTGCCAAGCAGCCCGGGGGGACTTTCTCACTGAGGGATGTGGATGGGATGTTGTTCCTGCGCCTCGGAGCCCTAACTCCCACCCACGGGCACACAAGAGAAGCCCCCTGTTGTACCGTGCTGCCGGGGCCCCGCCCCCAGCCCTACCACTGCATGGGGAGACACCCCTCAGCCCTCAGGGGTGGGATTCGGGTTGGTGGAAGGATCACGCGTGGGGGTGGGCTGTGGGAATCCCAGCCCCCCGGCTGCGGGGACAGTGCTGGTGCGTGACCCGTGGCCCTGTGGCTGCCCCAGGTCCTGCATCTGCAGCTCGAGAGCCTGGGGCTGGACTCAAAGCCCATCGCAGAGCGCTTCGCCGAGTCCTTCAGAGCCATGTGGTCGCTGAACGGGCACAGCCTGAGCAAGATGTTCACGGGCAGCCGGGCCCTGGAGGGGAAGGCCAAGGTGGGTGCTGGCCAGCAGGCGGGGCGTGGCTGGTGAGTGTGGCATGGGCAGGGTGGGGAGTGACGGGAGTGAGTGGGGGTGGTGGGCGGGGCGTGGGCGGGTCCCAGCGGGGCAGGGCTGGTAGGTGTGGCTTGGAGGAGGGGCTGGGGACTGATAGGGTAGGGCAGAGCTGGTGGGTGGGGCGTGGGCGGGGCAGGTCTGGTAGGTGTGGTGGGGCTGGGGATGTGATAGGGTAGAATGGGTTTGGTGGGCGGAGAGTGAGCGGGGCAGGTCTAGTGGCTGTGGTTTGAGGGCGGGGCTGGGGACGTAATAGGGTAGGGCGGGTTTGGTGGGCGGGGTGTGGGTGGGGCAGGGCTGGTGGGTGTGGCTTTGGGCGGAACTGGGGGACATGATAGGCTACGGGGTTGGTGGGCGGAGTGTGGGCGGGGCAGGCCTGGTGGGTGTGGCCTGGGGGGCTGGAAACTGATAGGGTGAATATGCTTGGCAGGCGGGGCATGGGCGGGGCTGGGAACTGATAGGTAGAATGGGGTTGGTGGGCGGGGCATGCACGGGGCAGGCTGGTGGGATGAGCATCCCACTCCTTGCCTCTCTCACCTCCTGGGCTCACCTCCCACAGGTGGGCAAGCTGAAGGACGGGGCCCGCTCCGTGTCGCGCACCATCCAGTCCAACTTCTTCGACGGGGTGAAGCAGGAGGCCATCAAGCTGCTGTTGGTGGGGGACGTGTACCCCGAGGACGCGGCTGACAAGGGCAAGATGCTCCTGGACAACGCGGCGCTGCTGGGTGAGGGGCCCCCACCCGCCGGCACACCCCCTGCCCCTTGCACCACCCCGGCCTGGTCGCGCAGTCCCCGGTCCCGCAGCTTTGTTGAGGATGAGGACGGTGTCGCGGGGAGGGAGGCAGCGAGGTGGACCCTGCACCAGGTGCCTGCGGCAGGAGGAGGTCCGCGCGGCAGCACCCGGGTCCAGAGCCAGAGGCAGGCTGGAGAGCGCCGCTTCCCTGGCAACTCCTTGGGCGGGTGGGGCTTGGGATCTGCTGGTTGGAATAATTTTAGGGGTGACCTGGGCTCCTGGGCAGCGGGCACTCCAGCTGGGCTACAGAGTGTCCAGGTGACTGGCCAGGTGGCCAGTTGGGGCTAAGTTTGCATTCCAAAGGTGCACTCCAGCCCAGCCCTGCCCAGGGTCTGGGGGTCAGGGACGATTTTAGCTCCGGGAAGAATTAGGGCTTTCCTGCCTGGGGTGAACCCTTCCACCCAATAGTGCTCAGGGGATATTCCCTCTTCCTCCTCTCCTCTAGCCATGCTGGAGGACGCCAGGGGCCCCTCCTGCCAATATTCGCTCTGAACTGGCCAAGGTTCCTAGTGAGGGACCCAGGATGCAGAGCTATCAGGGTCCAGTGGTACTGGGGATCACGGGGTTATCACACAGGGTCGCATAGTGAGGGATCGTCACACAGCATCGTTTGCCTGCCCCGTGCCTCTTCTGAGCCCACCTGTACTTAGCTGCAGGTGGCCACCCGAGCTGCCCGGGCAGGGGTCTTGTGCCCAAGCCTGAACTTGATCTCAGCACTGTTCTTGCCTCACCACAGAGTTTCAGGGCATTTTTCGTGCTGGGAACATTCGAGAGCTCCCAGCACCTCATATGCTCAGGCTGGGATTGTGCGTGCTCAGGGCTGACTCCTGGCTCTGTACTCAGGGATCACTCCAGGCGGGGCTCTGGGCACCATCTGGGGTACAGCTGTGAGGGGAGTCACTCTCAGTCGTGAGGCGGGCAGGACCAAGTGGGGTCCAGTTGCTGGACAGGAAGAGCCTGTGGATGCCGAGAGCCGACATTTCCACCCGTGATGCCTTTTTACCAAGAACTTCAGCCTGGGCACAGACTCAGGATGTCGAGTTAGATGGTATTCGGTGGTGGCCATTCAGTCCCTTATGTTCTGGCCACATTTGTCACTCCCTGCCCCCTACCCACTCAGGACACAGCTGCACGGGGGTGGGGGGGTGCCGTGGTCTGGGACAGGCATGATTCAAGTACCGATAGCCAAAAGTGCATCTGCGGCCAAATGCCCGGGCTGGACAGGGGGACGGTGGAAAATGCTAAAGATGGGTGAAATCTTGCCCCCCGTATTTCCCTGCGGGGCTCCCTCCCTCCCTCAGCATCACACAACTCCAAGAGCAACTGGAGGGGGGGTCCTACCTGTCTGCAGGACTGCCCCCTCCCCTCACACCAGCTCCTGAGCACTGTGAGTCAGTTTCCAGACCCTTCTGCCTCCCAGAGCTCAGGGCAACAATCACCATCGACTGTCACAGCTGTGGGAGACACAGAGGACAATGGGTGGGAGCAGGGGCGGTGCCTCCGTGCCCTCTGCTGGCGTCCAGCCCCCGGGCGTTATGGAGGCTTCGGACCCAGGAACAATTGGGTACTGAGGTTGGACTATTGAAGGCCTCCGTGGGCCTCTCCCCTCCTGGCCCATCTGGACAGCATCCATCCTCTTGGAGAGCCTAGGGCTTGGGAGACCGTGAGCCGGAAATGGGGCCAGGCTAAAGAGGTGGTTGTTTCAGTTTGTCTGGGGCGCAAAACCAAGGGCCTCAGGCCCTCTCCAGTCGAGGGGGATGAAACCCAGCCTGGCCACTTGCCATCAAGCACCTGCCCCTGTGCGCACTCTCCAGCCCCTCACTGGTCTCAGTGTTTCAAGTTTTTTTTTAGTATTTCAGGATTTTACTTTTTGTTTTGGTTTGGGGGTCACACCAGCGGTGCGCAGGGCTTACTCCTGGCTCTGCGCTCAGAGATCACTTCTTGAGGATTCAGGGGGACTCTGGGGGGGCGAGTGCCGGGGATCAAACCTGGGCCAGCTGCATGCAAGGTTCCCCGCTGTGCTATCTCCCTGGCCCCCTACTCAAAATCTGTTGAGGCTGCGAGGAGCCAGGTGGCCCCTTTGGGGTTGCTGGCCGTGACCCGTGACCCGCCCTGCTGTGGGGAAGGTGTCGCGGGCCTGGACCTGAGCTTTCCGGTTATGGGGGTGCTCAGCCTCTTCGCCGTGACTCCCTGCGGGTGCTGGGTACCTGGGACCGGGAATGGGGTGCTGTCCAACCGGCCTTCCTACTTGCCCTGGCAGTGACCCCCCGGATCCTGAAGGCCATGTCGGAGCGCCAGGCGGAGTTCACCCACTTCAGACGCATGCGCATCGCCATGGGCACGTGGAACGTCAACGGTGGGAAGCAGTTCCGCAGCAACCTGCTGGGCACGGCCGAGCTGACCGACTGGCTGCTGGACACGCCCGCGCTGGCCGGGGCCACAGAGTCACAGGGTGAGCGAGCACGGCCCGCCTGCCCCGTCCCAGCCCGCCCCTCGCTCACCACTGTCCTTGTGCTGACCACGGTCACTCACACACGCGGCCAGGGTGCGTGCTCAGGGCTGTGGGCTCCCCGTAGGGACCCTGTGGAGCTGCCGGGAGTTGCACACTGTCGTGCCTGCCCTGGAGAACCCCACGCACAGCTGTGCTGCCCCACCCCCCCCGCATGTGGGCGGCCTCTCGGACCCAGTCCGAGGGCCTCAGTGTGCAGGGCTACGAGCTTTGGACTCAGCCCACACCCTGGCCTTTGGCTTCTCCCTGGAGTGACTGGCGGGCGCTGTGCTTTGACTCTAGAACACGCCCGGCCAATTACCCGCCAACGCCCCTCGGAGATAGTCTGTCCCACGCCCTCTCTCTGCCACCTGTGGCCGGGGAAGTTGACTCCAGACCATGGCCGGACACCGGTGGCTTCTCCTGTCTGTGTGACCCTTCCAGATGCCCCCAGGCCTGGAGTGCCCCGAATGTCTGTTCAACCTTGGCTGAAGAAACTCCCCAGTGGAATTCATGCAGAATTCAATCAGCTAATCAGTGGCTGAATAAATAGCAGTACTCCTACATTAAAAAAAAAAAAAAAGAAACTCTCCACTACAGGGTCCCCACTGTGACGAGCCCCCCTTGGCCTGCAGGAAGTAGGGTTCCTCTGCAGGGCTTCACGTGTGGGCTTCACTGGAGCATTTGTGGACACAGTGACCAAGGGGTCCAGCCCGAGGCAGCTGCTGTTTCCCTAAGAAAAGGGGAGGAGGGTCTGAGATCGCACAGCGGGCAGGGCACTTGCCTTGCATGAGGTTGACCTGGGTTCTACCCCCAGCACCCGATATGGTCCCTTGAGCTCCTCCAGGAATAATTGCTGAGCTCAGAGCCAGGAGTCAGCCCTGAGCCAAGGACCAAAAAAAAATTGAAAAGAAGTACCAGAGGGATAATAAAGCAGGCCAGTGCTTGTCTTGCATATGGCTGACTCGGGTTCAATCCCCCATCATCCCGTTTGGCTCTCTGAGCACTGCCAGGAGTAATTCCTGAGCACAGAACCAAGAGTAACCCCTGAGCACCACTGGGTGGAGAGAGAGAGAAAGAGGGAGAGAGAGAGAGAGAGAGAGAGAGAGAGAGAGAGAGAGAGAGAGAGAGAGAGAACGCAAGGGAGCACCCTGGGGTCTGGCTTGAAGGGCAGGCTCACTTGCCTTCACAAAGTACCACCCGAATCTCCCCCCCCGCACGGCATATCAGACCCCAGCAGCCCTGGGTGTGGCCCTGCGGGAGAGAAGGGGGCTCCAGGCTCCCGGGCCGGGGCTTGGGGACTCGGTCCCTGCTTCCCCGGTTGGGGTGCAGCCGGCTGGAAGGCCCTGAGCCTGGTCAGCCCCCAGCGGGCCTCTCTGCCAGCTGCTCCAGCTCTGCCTCTGCACCCAAGAGGCCTGGAGGGTGCAAGTGTGAGACCGTGTCTGGTCGGGAGATGGGTGGGATGACGTGGAATGTTCTGGAAGGAAGCGGGATGGGGGGTTCTTTAGGGTCCACAGCTGCCTCGGGAGGTGGCCCCCAGGCGACCTGCGGCTGAGTCCCCTCTCCCTCAGATGACGGCAACCCTGCTGACATATTTGCTGTGGGCTTCGAGGAGATGGTGGAGCTGAGTGCCGGGAATATCGTCAACGCCAGGTAAGTGGCCGGCAGAGAGCGTGGGGCGCCCGGCGGGGAGCGGGACCCGGACACGGGGATCCTCACACCCATGCCTGCCCCCCCCTCCCCCCCCCCGCTGACTGAGGGTCAGGGGTCAGGCAGAGTCAGGTGAAGGGCCTGGGGTCAGGGGGAGCATGAGCGCAGGCGAGGGTCTTGCCCACGGTTCCCCAAGGACAGGCCTGCTCCGACCCACCCGCCCCTGTCCCCGCCCCGACACTTCTCTCTCTCTCGAGGGCCACCAGCAGGCCCATGAACAGAAGCAGGGCAGGTCCATTAACAGGAGCACAGCAGAGTCAGACACGGAGGCAGGGGCTGGAGCAATAGCACAGCGGGTAGGGCGTTTACCTTGCACGCGGCCGACCCGGGTTCGATTCCCAGCATCCCATATGGTCCCCCGAGCACCGCCAGGGGTAATTCTTGAGCGCAGAGCCAGGAGTAACCCCTGTGCATCACCAGGTGTGACCCAAAAAGCCCAAAAAAAAAAAAACCAGACACGGAGGCAGCATGGGGGACGCAGCACGGGGTCCCTGCATGGGGGACCCGGCGCGGGGAGCCGTCGGGTGGGGGCTCGCTGTCCACACCTGCCCCTCTCTGCAGCACCACCAACCGGAAGATGTGGGGCGAACAGCTTCAGAAAGCCATCTCGCGCTCTCATCGGTACATTCTCTTGACCTCGGCACAGCTGGTGGGCGTCTGTCTGTATATCTTTGTGCGTCCGTACCATGTCCCCTTCATCAGGTAAGACAGTTCGCAAACCTCTGGGGGCACGGGGATTGCTCATCTGGGGGGTCGGTTCTGTCTCTGCTCTCCTCCTACGGCGGGGATTCTGGGGGGACGCAGCGAAGCCCCCAGGTGGGGACGAGGCCAGAGCGCCAGGCCTAGCGGGAGCCCTCAACTGCTGCTGCCAGCCCCCACTCAGCTTCGCCCAGAGAAGGGGGTTCTGGTGGATGGATGTCCTTGTGGAAGCTTTGGGGCTAAATCTGGCAGTGCTCAGGGCTTGCTCCGGGCTCTGCACTTGGGGTTCACTCCTGGTGGGCGTGGGGGACCATATGGGGTGCTGGGGATTGAACTTGGGCCAGCTTCATGCAAGGCAGGTGCCCACTCTGCTCACTATGGCCCCAACCCCTTGTAGAGGTTTTATTTTTAATTTTGCTTTTTTGGGTCACACCCAGTGATGCTCAGGGGTTATTCCTGGCTCTGCACTCAGAAATTACTCCTGGCGGTTACTTGGGGGACCGTACGGGATGCTGGGGATCAAACCCGGGTCCGCCACGTGCAAGGCAAACGCCCTATCGATCCACTGTACTATCGCACTGGCCCTTGTGGAGGTTTTAGACCAGAGCTAAGTGACTCATTAGGAAATGCCCATTCTCAGGTCTTTGTCAGAGAAGACTGGGGTGGGGAGCCTCTTCCTCATCGCCCCGTCAGCCACCTGTGGTCATCTCTCCCAGGGACCGGGGTGTGAGTGTGGAAGCAGGAATCTGAGGAAGACATGTCCATAAGAAAGGGTTTGTGTGCGCGTGTCTGCATGTGAGCGTGTTTCTTTGTGCCTTGAGCACGTGCATGTGAATTCATGTATATGTGTGTGTGCACGAATGCATGCATGTGTGTGTGAGTATGCGGACGTATGGGATGTGTGGATGTGGATGTGGATGGGTGTGCATGTGTGTGTGTCTGAGCGTGTATGTACATGCCTGTGGATGTGTGCACGAGGATGTTATTGTTCATGTGTTACATGCATGAGGATATACCTGTGTATACTTGTGTGTATGTTTATCTGTGAGCGGATGCAGGCATGTGCATGTGTACATGTCCCGGTGTGCATGTGTATGTGTGCATGTTTGGGAGTGCATTTGTGTGAGGTATTCATGCGTGTGTGTGTGTGTGTGCGTGTGTAGGAGGGCATTTGCATGAGTGAGTATGCATGTGTATGTGTGATTTTATGCGTGAGTGCGTGTGTTTTGTGCATGTGTGTGCTCGTGTGTGTGTGTGTGTGTGTGTATGTGTGTGTAGGCCTAGAGCTCTGCCTTCCCTCAGCCCTAGCCCCTGGCGCTCAGCCCCTGCTCAGCCCCCCACTGCCTCTCCTGAACACTGGCCAGCCTTGCTGAGTGGGCACGGAGTGGCCCACAGCTGGTTGCGGCCCTGCACCCGTTTCTGAGCGCAAGGGAGACCGTGGGTGCCCGTGGGGCGCAGCTCTGTGCTCACAGCCTGTGGGGTCTGGGCCTGTGTTGTTGTGCGGGTCCTGAGGTCTGTCCAGTGCGTGGTCAGTGCGGGTGGAGGGCAGCGAGCAGGCGGGGTTGGGTGGAGTCAGGTGGGGCTGTCAGGAGGCTGGAGTGCCCTGGGCTCCTGCTGCCCAGCTGCTGCCCGGTGCCAGCCTGGAGCTGTGCTCACTGACCACGTGAGGCGCTGCCTTCCCGCTGGGCGGACACTGTCCCATCTACCGCGTCATACCTGGAGGCTTCCATCACTTCCTGTGAGGCTCTACCTTCTGTCCGGGGCTGGACACTGTCCCACCTACTGTGTCACACCTGGAGTTATCTGTCACTTCCTGTGAGGCTCTGCCTTCCCTTGGGGCCAGACACTGTCCCACCTGCTGTGTCACACCTAGAGGATTCTGCTACTTCCCATATGCTGCGGGCCTGGTAGCCTCCTGGACATTGCAGGAAAGCCCCGTGGGTGGGGGTGCCGAGGGAGACCCGTGCTGCTCTGTGGGGGCCTCGGTCGGGAACTTTGGCCAGGAGAGAACAAAGCAGAGACCCTTAGAGATCGAGGGTCAAGGAGGAAGATGAGTATCGGGGGGATCCCCAGAGCCCTGCTCTGGAGGCGACCGGGGAAGGATTCTCAGGCTGCCGGCCCTGCCCGGGGCCCTCGGGAACCAGCTGGCCTGTGCTTGTCCCTGGGGGCCACTGAGAGTCGGCCACGCGGCTTCTCTTCCAGGGAGGTGGCGATTGACACGGTGAAGACGGGCATGGGCGGAAAGGCCGGCAACAAGGGGGCCGTGGGCATCCGCTTCCAGTTCCACAGCACCAGCTTCTGCTTCGTGTGCAGCCACCTGACGGCCGGCCAGTCGCAGGTGAAGGAGCGGAACGAGGACTACCGCGAGATCACGCAGAAGCTCAGCTTCCCCATGGTGAGCCCTCTCCGGCCAGCGCTGGTCAGCGCCAGTCAGACCTGGTTGGCACCGGTCTGCTCCGGTCAGTGCCAGTCTGTGTCAGTCGATGCCAGTCAGACCCAGTTAAAGCTGGTCTGATCCTCTGGTCTCTGCTGGTCAGCTCTGGTCAGCTTCGGCCAGCGCCGGTCAGGGCCGATCAACGCCAGTCAGACCCAGTTGGCACCGGTTTGCTCCGGTCAGTGCCAGTCTGTGTCAGTTGATGCCAGTCAGACCCAGTCAACGCTGGTCTGATCCTCTGGTCACTGCCGATCAGCTCTGGTCAGTGCTGGCCAGCGCCGGTCAGTGCCAGTCAGACCCCGGCAGTGCCGGTTTGCTCTGGTCAGTACCAGTCTGTGTCAGTTGATGCCAGTCAGACCCAGTCAATGCTGGTCTGCTCCAATTGCTGCCGGTCAGCTCTTGTCAATGCTGGTCAGCACTTGGTAGTGCTGGTCTGCTCGGATGAGCGCCATGCATGACTTTCCAGGCTGCCAGGAGGGCTGGGGGAGGATCTTGGACGCGCTGGGCCGTGATGGCAGGATCGTCCTTGGAGGGGCTGACTCCTGAGCGTGGGCCGGTTTCCCCCAACGCAAGCCGCCATGTCTGGGAACTATGTGGCTTCTGGGAGATCCACAGTGACACCAGCGTCTGGGTCAGTGGGGCGGGTCAGAACCCCTTTCGTGTGGGGACTGATACCCAGGCGTCCGGAGGGGAGGCTGCGTCTCCCTGGAAAAGTCTCCGGGGACTTTGCTGGACTGGAGAAAGTGTCGTTCAAGACCGGGGGTGGGGGGGGTCCACAGCGTCTCGCCCCTCTCGGCGCTCAGTTCTCTCACGGGCTGCTCCATGCTGCCAGGGTTGGTCCGGCTTTGGCATCGGGGAGGGTGCTGTGTCCCCCTCTCCCCATCAGGGGGGCAGTGACAGTGGCACAGGATGGTACAGGGAAACAGAGCTAGGCTGGGACCACCCCCCCCCCCCCCCGAGTTCTCGCGCTGCCTCCAGGTCCTCATTCCCCTCTGGGGTCTCCATCTGCCTTCCAAGTTCCCGCTCAGGCGAGTGGCCCGAGAAGAGAAGCCCGTGCGTCCACGCCGGGCCAGGCTGCTGAAGGGCTTTGGAGTTCCAGCTCAGTTTTCTCCACATCCAGCCTTCATACACAGACTCCCGCTTTCAAAATCTACATTCCTGGAGCCAGGGAGATGGGCTGGAGGTCAGGGGTCAGGGGCCAGACACAGATCAGAGTTCCACCCCGCTCAGCCCTGCTGCTGTGGCGCTGGTCGCCCCCAGTGCCGCGTCACTGGCCCCAGCGTGGGGCGGTGCAGCCTCAGGCAGCGTGGAGCTGGACAGTGCTCGGACAGGAGCTGGACACTGCCGGGAGCAGAGTGAAGACTCCGCCCTTCCCTGCACCCGGGGCCCCGCCCCCTGATCCGGCCTGCCGGCCGCCTGCGTCCTGCTGCCCCCTAGTGGTCGCCAGAGTTTAAGGTTGCTGCAGCCCAGCCTGCTGCTCCCCGTAGAGGGTGGGTGGGCTGAAGCTGGTCTGGCTGCACGTCCTGCTCATGTCTGGGTCCCAGGCCACGGGCTGTGGCTCTTCAAGGGCAGCCAGATCCCTCAGACACTGACCTGTTGGGCTGTGTGAACCCTTGGTTTCTTTAGCAGGCGCTGTAATCCCTGTTGCCTGTCCTACTGCTTTCTCTGGAGGGTGTGTGTGTGTGTGTGTGTGTGTGTGTGTGTGTGTGTGTGTGCGTGTGTGCCCCCAAGTCCGCTTCTGGTAACTATCTGACCCTCACCAGGTCTCTGGAGGGTGTGTGTGTGTGTGTGTGTGTGTGTGTGTGTGTGTGCCCCCAAGTCCGCTTCTGGTAACTATCTGACCCTCACCAGGTCTCTGGAGGGTGTGTGTGTGTGTGTGTGTGTGTGTGTGTGTGTGTCCCCAAGTCCGCTTCTGGTAACTATCTGACCCTCACCAGGTCTCTGGAGGGTGTGTGTGTGTGTGTGTGTGTGTGTGTGTGTGTGTGTGCCCCCAAGTCCGCTTCTGGTAACTATCTGACCCTCACCAGGTCTCTGGAGGGTGTGTGTGTGTGTGTGTGTATGTGTGTGTGTGTGTGTGTGTCTGTATATGTGCTCCAAGTAAAGTCTCCTCTGTAGGTCTTGGATAGTGAGCTGAGATGCTTGAGTAAAGACTTTTCAGGAGGGGCAGCGGAGAGGGCCACAGGCAAGGCACCTTCCTTGCACGCCATCGGCCTGCCCAGCTAGTTATCCCCTGGGCACTACCAGGAGTGGTCTGTGAGCACAGGTCCACGAGTCATCCCCGAGCACTTCTGGCTGTGCCTCCCTGTCCCCAAAAGAGACTTGAGGAAAGGAGCTTATCTGTGTGCTCTGGGGCGCGCCCAACAGTGCTCCTGTGTGCATTGAGGCTGCGCGCTCTCGGCCCTTCCCGCCGTCACCCTGGCCACAGAAAAGGAGCATTTCTAGGGGCAGAGGCTCGACATGTGCCCTCCGGGGGCTCTTTTCCTCTCCCCCCCTCCATCCCCCAAAAGGTCCCGAATGACGGTGACTTTCTGTCCCTCCAGGGAAGAAACATTTTTTCTCACGATTACGTGTTCTGGTGCGGCGACTTCAACTACCGCATCGACCTCACTTACGAGGAAGTCTTCTACTTTGTGAAGCGCCAAGACTGGAAGAAACTACTAGAATTTGATCAGCTGCAGCTGCAGAAAGCAAACGGAAAAGTGCGTGAGTTGAGCCCTGGGTTGGTTTTCTAGCGGTTCCTACTCGCCGATTCTGAGGGGCGGCGGCAGTGCCCGTGGGGGCCAGCAGGGGGCAGGGTAGCACGCGGCCACCCGCCCAGGAGCTTCTTTGCAGGGACCAAGAGGACTTCACACAGCTGGGCTCCCCTCTGGGTGGGCATCCTGCGCCCGCTCTGGCCAGGAGGAAGAAGGGGCGCCCCCTCCACTCTCAGCGCACCTGCACCCCCCCATCAGTGCTTTGTTTCTCTGTTTGGGGGCCACACTCAGCTGTGCTCAGGGATCACCAGGTGGTGCTGGGATGGAACCCAGGTGGGCCGCTCTCACGGCAGGCGCCCTCCCCGCTGTGCTGCTACTGCAGCCGGCACAGTGCCGGGCTCTGTTGATGAGAACAGCTTCCAGCAGGACCCAGGAAGCTTGGGGGCGGGGGCAGGGAGGGGACTGGGGCGGGGACTGCAGTGTAGACAGTCAGACCCCGTTTCGGGCTCATGAGCCCGGCTAGCAGGCACAAGCTGTCACAGGTTGCCCAAACCACCAAATGACTCTTCAGAGTCTGCTCCAGGGCCAGAGCCATAGCACAGCAGGAAGGGCACTTGCTGTGCATGGGACCAGCCCGGGTTCAATCCCTGGCACCCTCTGTGGTTCCCTGAACCATTCCAGGAGCCCTGAGCACAGAGCCAGGAGTCATCCCTGAGCACAGAGCCAGGAGTGATCTCTGAGCACAGAGCCAGGAGTAATTCCTGAGCACAGAGCCAGGAGTCATCCCTGAGCACAGAGCCAGGAGTGAGCGCTGAGCACAGAGCCAGGAGTGAGCTCTGAGCACAGAACTGGGAGTGAGCCCTGAGCATAGAGCCAGGAGTAATCCCTGAGCACAGAGCCAGGAGTGATCTCTGAGCACAGAGCCAGGAGTAATTCCTGAGCACAGAGCCAGGAATCATCCCTGAGCACAGAGCCAGGAGTGAGCGCGCTGAGCACAGAGCCGGGAGTGAGCCCTGAGCACAGAGGCAGAAGTGATCCTTGCGCACAGCCAGGAGAGATCCTGAGCACAGAGCTGGAGTCAGCCCTGAGCACAGCCAGGAGTGCTCCCCCCGCACCAAAAAAAGAGAGACCAGTTGTAGTTACTGGTTTTGGCATATCGAATACACAGCGGATAGCTTGCCAGGCTCTTCCGTGCGGGCGGAATACGCTCGGTAGCTTGCCAGTCTTTCCGAGAGGGATAGAGGCTTTTGGGGTGACCTCTAATCACCCTTGTAGGTGTTACCATATTTGAACCCTATCAAATATGGTACGACAATTCCAGAAGATGGGTATTTAGTGTCTTATGATGTGTCGCACGGCCGCAAGCGGCTGCGCGGGTCCGAAAAGCGTCCTGGAGTGTGGCGACGGCTGGGTAGTGGAAGTAGTGTCCAAAAAAAGAAAGAAACAAAAAAAGATTCTGCTCCAGCTGCTTTATCTGGCATTGCTGACCCCTCATTGCTGACGCACTAAAGTTGATGCGATCCAGGGATACCCACACCCGCACATGTCTAGACTGAGGCTGTCCCTCAATTGGATGTTAGACCCCTTCCAGCAGGGAAACTGAGGCCAGGGTCTGGTCAGCTCCTGCTTTCCAGGAAGGGTCAGTGAGTAAGTGGGTGGAGTTTGCCCCCGCTGAGCTGTGGTTTGCGCTGCTGCCTGGGATGGGACCTGGCAAGGTGTCTGCCCAACTGGACCCTCTCCCCAGGGGGTGGCCAGCCGCAGGGGAGGTGGGGGGGAGAAGCTGTCACACCCTTGGGCATAGACCTCCTGTGCCGAGTCTCCCGAGGGAACCAACCGTCAGGGCTGCAGCCGGCGAGGGCAAAGCCAGGCCCTGCTGGGCTTCCATGGCTCGTTGAGCTGGTGGCAGTGTGGTCCTGGGTCCCTGCCTGTCCCTGTGTCCCCGGGTCCCGGGTCCCCTCTGTTCCGTGTCTTTCCCCAGTCTCAGCACCGAGAGGGGCCCCTGGTAAGTCCTGCTCGCGTTGGCCCTGTGCCGCTGTATCCAGTGCTGCTCTGAGGCTGCAGACCCCCTTTGTGTGCGGGTTTGCCCGTGACATGAGGCCCCGGGAGCGCTGAAGCCCTGGATGTCCTTGTTCCAGATTTTTAAAGACTTTCACGAAGGCGCCATCAACTTTGGACCCACCTACAAGTATGACGTCGGCTCGGCTGCCTACGACACGAGCGACAAGTGCCGCACCCCGGCCTGGACCGACAGGGTGCTGTGGTGGAGGAAGCGGCTCCCTTCCGACCGCACCGGTACGCGGGGGCCAGGGGGCAGAGTCACCCCAGGGGTCCCCAGCTCCCTCTGGCCTCCGCTGGGGACCGATTCACCAACAGGCCTGCTCCGGGCACCCCACAACCCTGCCAGGGAAGGAAAGGGGTGGGACCCGGGGAAGAACGGGAGATGTCCAGGAGGGAAGAAGAGAGAAGGCCCAGGGAAAGGAGGAGAGATGGTCCGGGGATGGGGAGAGGGTCCGGGGGAAGGGGGGAGGATCCAGGGGAGGAGGAAGAGATGGTGGGGGGCGGGGCAGAGGGAGGGAGGGTCCAGGGGAGGGGGGGATGGTCAGGAGAGAGGGAGAGGGTTCGGGGGAGGAGGGAGAGATGGTCCGGGGGGAGGGGGAGAGGGTCTGGGGGAGTGGGGGATGGTAGGGGGGAGGGGGAGGAGAGATTCTGGGGTCTGCCCCAGTACCTCTTTTTCCTCCCACATTTACTCATTGAATTTAATTTGAACCCGTGCCACAGTGGAGGAGTGTGCGGGAGTGTGGGTGGGCGTGTGGGCCTGTGGTCGCGCTCACGGATACGGGTCTGCCTTGCATGTGGGTCTCTCGCTGGCGGCGGCCGAGCAGCTGCAGAACTGAACCTGCTGGACAGCGACCTCAATGCTGACCCCAGTGTCCAGCACACCTGGTCCCCCGGCGTCCTCAAGTACTACGGGCGCGCTGAGCTGCAGGCGTCCGACCACAGGTAGGACCTGCGCCCGGGAGACTCGGGGCCACAGTGGGGCTGCAGTGGGCCACGGGGGCACCTGCCACGCGGCCACCCAGGTTCCGTCCAGACGCCGCAGATGGGGCCCCTAGCCCGGCCATGGAGACCCCCGAGGGCAGAGCCAGGAGCAGCCCTGAGCCTTCCCATGTGGCCCCAAAGCAATCCAGAGTGGCCAGGCCTGTGCGTGGTCCCGAGCATGGGGGTCAGTGGTGCTGTGTCTGCCACGGGTCCTCAGTGGCAGTGCCGGGACAGGTCCAGAGCACAGCCAGTGGCGTTTGTCTCTGCCAGGGCGCCAGGGCTCCCCGAGGACCCCCAGATAGTCCAAGGGAGGACACCATGAAAAATCAGTCGGTGGGGCTGTATCCAGGCCGATGCAGGGAGCCAGGTCGGGACGGACGGAGAAGGGACCGGGTGTGGCCAGACACATGTGTGTTCGTGGCCCTGCCACATAACGGCTCACTTGTTAGTGACCTCCGTGTCTTGCATGCACACAGGAGCGTCCCGGGTGCTCACGGGTGAATCCCCCTAACCTAGTGATCCCGGACACCGGGGCCGTCTGAGTATTGCATCGAGGACTTAGTTTTTCATTAAAAGAAGCAGAACTGTGCTCTGTGCGTTGTGGGCCGTTCCTCGGCCGGAAGATGAAGTCACGCCAGTTGGGGTTCCGGGGCTGGGCCTGGTGGGACCGAGTCGAGTGAAGTTAGGCAGGACCGTCCCGTGTGGGAACACAGAGAAGCAGCCAGGGAGTGGCAGGCGGCTGAAGGCTCCCCCCTCTGAGCTGGGGTCCGGGAGCCCCACTCTGCCCGACTGCCCTGGGCCCGCCTCCCTGACATGTTCAACGCTCGTCCTTTCTCCCTTGTCATCACAAGAATGTTCTAGAACCAGGCTCGGGACCAGGGCGCGAGCTTTGTTCCCAGTACCCCCACGTGTGGGGGACTCCTGCCTCGTGTACTTGGCTACCCCAAGATGCTCAGGGCCTGGAGGCTTCTGCAGAGAGAACTCGGCCAGAGGGCTTCCTTGGCGCTTAGCCCTGCGCCAGATTTCTCTCTCCCCTTGTTTTCACCCCTCGAACCTTAAGGCCCACCGGGCATGAGATGACTCTGGGGGGCAGCGGTGTCGGTGCCCAGAGAGCCTGGTTGCCTGCAGCTGGAGGGGGCGGCCAGCACCTGACCCGCCTCAGCTGCTGGGGACTAGGGCCCCCTGGCATCAGGCGTGGCCCCTGCTTACAGCACCCCAGGGCGTCTCGGGTTAGCAGCGGTAGGTGAGGATGGGTAGGTGAGGATGAGAGGTTGTCTTCCGGTTTAGTTTTTTTGTTTGTTTGTTTTTAGATTTTTATTAGTGAAACACCATGAGGTACAGTTGCAGACTTACAAAGTTTTGTGCTTGGGTTTCAGTTGTACAATGATCAAACACCCATCCCTCCACCAGTGCCCATTTTCCACCACCACGGGTCCCAGTATCCCTCCCACCCCCCCCATCTCCCCCACCCCACCCTGCCTCTGTGGTAGGACATTCCCTTTTGTTCTCTCTTTCCTCTTGAGTGGCAAAAGAGGCGTTGAGTGGCAATCATGTTTATCACCCACGTCTGCGGTGCTCGGGGCTTACTCCTGGCTTTGTGTTCAGGGATCCCTCTGGGGTCTGCAGTGTGCAGGGCAAGCCCCTCACCCCCGCTGCCGTCTCTGTCTCTGCTGCTCTCTGTCCAAGGTGGGCGGGGGTGGAGGGGACCCGCAGTGTCCGCCCCTTTCCACGCCCACCGCAGTGCTGGCCCTTAGAAGTACCGGGATGATCAGGGGCTGGAGGGGGCCCCGTCCGGGGACTCGCTGACCCGCCTCCCCCATGTCGCGCAGACCCGTGCTGGCCGTCGTGGAGGTGGAGGTGCAGGAGGTGGACGAGAGCGCGCGTGACCGGGTGCTCCAGGAAGTGTCCTCCTCCCAGGGGCCCCTGGATGCCACCGTCGTGGTCGACCTGCAGTCCCCGGGCTCGGAGGAGAAGGACGAGTTCCCGGAGGACGTGCGTGCCGAGCTCATGGAGACCCTGGGCAGCTACGGCACCATCGTGCTGGTCAGGTGAGGGCTGCCCTCGGGCCGGGGACCTCCAGGGTGGGAACGCGATCCCCCTCGGGGCAGCGGCCAAGGCCGACTCTGGGTCTTCCAGGATCAACCAGGGCCGGATGCTGGTGACATTTGCCGACAGTCACTCGGCGCTGAGCGTCCTGGGTGCGGACGGCATGAAGGTGAGCCGGGCTGGGCGTGAGGGGCAGAGGGCGGCCAGTATACTCAGGGGCAGGAAGCCCTAAGCAGTGGCCCCCCACTGCCTAGCGCCCCCTGGTGTTAGGAGCTAAAACCATGCCTTCTGCCTCTCCACTGAGGTTTCGAGTGCTCCGAGTTTGGGAGAGAGTTCCTCTTTTGCAGAGAGGCTTGGGGGGGCTCCCAAACAGTGCTCGGGAGGTTCAGGGACCCCAGCGGTGAGCTCAGCCAGTTAGGGTCAGCATGAGGCCCCCAGGGTGTGGTGCTGCCTGGGCCCTGAGTGGGCAGTTCCCATGGCCTCCGGGGCGGCCCGCAGATACTCAGGGGACCATGTGGTGCCAGGAATCGAGCCCGGGTTGGGCCCAGGCTGCGCACAAGCCCTGGCCCCTCGCCACCCCCATCCCTGAGAGCGAGTCTGTCTCTGCTCCCCGGGCCCGTGGCCTGGTCTTTCTCTCCCGCGGTGTTGATGGGTTGAAGTGTCCCGGGTGGCTAAGGCGGAAGTGACCGTCACGATTCCCATAAGAATATAGATAAGACTTACAGGCCCCGCAGCCTGTTCTGGGCGGCCGGTGGGGGCAGCCCTGGTCCGTCCGCTCGCGGCCCAGCTCCACAGTTGAAAACCCCACGAGTCTGTACATCTGGGGACATGCAGCTTTAGGACAGGGTCGTTGGGGGTAGTTTCCCGACTTCAGGGTCTCTGGGATGAAGAGACCCTCTAGGACTGGGGACGAGGGTGAGGGGGTGGGTCGGGCCGGCCACGGGGGCTGCTGACCCGCCGGCCTCCAGGTGAAAGGCAGAGCTGTGAAGATCCGCCCCAAGACCAAGGACTGGCTGCAGGCCCAGGTGCTCCGGCGGCGGGAAAGCGCGGCCTCGATGTCGCCCACGGCCGGGTCCTGCTTGCTGGAGGAGAGCTTCGACTTCTCGAGCCTGGACTACGAGTCGGAGGGTGAGCAGGCGGGCGGGCGGGGTTCGGGAAGGTTCCAGAGCCCTCGGAGGGAAGCCCCCTGTTCCAGGGCAGGCGTGGGGGGGGGGGGGGTCCCGAGCAGGGAGGGCCAAAGCTGGGTCCCTCGGTGGTGGGGTTTCAGGACCTGTCCCGTCCCTCCAGGCGTGCCGCCTGCAGGCTGCTGTCCCCGTGCTCCAAGGCTGACCATCGTCGGGAAGGGGAGGCCCTCACGCGTTTTCTCGTCTGCCTCTCCCAGGGGATATTCTCGAGGATGACGAGGACGACCTGGGCGACGAGCTGGGTCCGACGGCGGCCCTGGATGCGGAGCTAGGTAGGGACGAGCCCCCCCAGGCCCCCGGCGATGAAGCGCCCCTGGGCGGCCGGCCCCCAGCGCTGGCCACGACGCAGCCAACTTACAAAGGTAACGCCCCGCTCACCTGCCCCGCCTCGTCCCCCGCCTCCAGGGGGCACTGTCCCAGGAAGGCCTGGCCCAGCCGCTTTCCCTGGGGGTCCCCGCCCACCCACCGTGGTGGTTCGAGGCTTTTACAGCAGCACATGCCCTGTAAGTCTCTGCAGCGCTGTGGTGCTTCCGGCTCTGGGGCTTAGTGGCTGCAGCTCTGGGCTGGGGGGTATTGGGTGCCAGTTGTGTGCTGTTCGCTGGGTCCCCTCCCCGCCCTCGTGGGTGGGGCATCCACCACCCCGCCCCGAAGAAACCTCAGCATCTGGGGTCTGAGGCGCTGGTGGCTTGTCGGTCGCCCGAGGGTGTGACAGGGATTGATGAGGTTTTGCATCACTTTCTGCCAGTACTGGGCGGCTGGACAGTGTGGCCCTTGCTCCCTGTTGTGGCTGGGCCCCAGCGCCCACTCCCGGCTCATGGGTGACCATGGAGTCATGTGTCTTTGCAGAATTCTTGGGTGCATCTTGGCCGTGGCCAGCAACTCCTTCCTGGCCACGGTGGTCCCCTTTGGGGGTCGGGACTGTTCCCAGCAGGTGTGGGAGTCTCTTTCGATGCTGGGGCCAAGAACGGGGGACAAGGGTGAAAGTGATCTAAGCTGTTTCCCCAGGGGGGGCCGGAGAGGTAGTGCAGTGGGTAGGGCACTTGCCGTGTCCACAGCCGACCCCGGTTCGGTCCCCAGCGTCCTTCTGTGGTCCCCTGAGCCGCACAAGGAGTGGTCCCACAGGTGAGTGGCAGAGCCAGGAGTGACCCCTGAGCACCGCGGAGTGTGCCCCCACCCCCAGTGAAAGGTGGTTCCCTGGAAGGCCCGTGGCCAAGAGGGGCGTGAAGCCCCCCAGATCGGAAGGGCCTCAGCACTGCCCCTCATGACTGCCCAGAGCCGGAGGGTCTTCTCCAGCTTTGAGATTGCTGAGCACTGACAGAGGAGTTGGGGTGGGCGGGGCCAGCAAATGGGCATTTCCGGAAGCTCCCTGTGACGGACGTGCAGCCAGGTCCTGGAGTGGCTGCCCAGTGCTTGGGGGGACACAGCAGCTGACAGGACACGCCTGCAGGGGAGCCCTTCCTCTGTGCAAACCCAGCAGGGTCCCCTGGTATGAGCTCCAGGAACCTCCCGGGCTGCAGTGGGCATTGCCACCTTGGGGGCACCGGGATCCTGGGATAAAGGGACCCTCCTCTCCCAGACTGTGGGCTCGAGAGGCGCAGTTCCAACGACAGTGAGTCTGGGCCCAAGCAGTCAGGGTCGGGCTGCGCTGCTGTGTGTTCAAAGGCCTTGGGGTGCAGAATGCGACTGTGATCTATTTCTGTGGGGCGAGAGAGAGGTTGGGGCTGGGGAGAGAATGCCGCAATCCTGGCACTTGCCTGGCACGCAGTGAACCCTGGGTCCACTCGCGGCACCGTCTGTGGACCCCCAGACCCCGGCAGGAGTGTGGTGCTGAGCATGGCCAGGTGTGGCCTGGAAACAGAACAGAAAAACCAGGAGGATCTACTGGTGCTCTGAGCTGCTTCCAGCAGCCGCAGGACAGGTCTGGGGCCAGCGCTGGCCAGCGGGGCCTGGAGGGGACTGTGGGGACGCCCCGTCCCTGCCGTGGTTTAGAGACCCTCGGTGCCAGAGGCTCAGGATCTTCCGCACTGGTCGGGGTGAGCAGCCCTGCTTTCCGAGGGAGCCCCCTGCCCCCAGGAGGCTGGGCAGCTCTGTCCAGCCCACACCCAGGCCCCGCGCTGACCAGCTGTCCCCAGCAGGCGTTGGGGACCCCGCCCTGCCCCAACCCTGAGCCTGACTCGCCTTCACCGTGTCCTGCAGATGACGCAGACCTGGCGGTGTTAAAGTGGGAACCGGAAACATCTGGGGAGCCCCGCCACCGTTCTCCGAGTAGGTCTCTGTCCGTCCCTGGCAGGCCCCGGCCAGCTCCCCCACCGCAGAGACCCCCCCCCTCCAAGTAAGACTCGCTCGCTTGCAGCCGCCCGGGCCCGCCTGGCATGGCAGACCTCCCCGGAGAGCCTCTGCCCCCACACCGCTTCCTGCCCACCTGCTCCCGTCCACTGCCTGAAGCCCACCTCCTCACGTCCACTGCCTGCTGTCACCTCCCATCCACTGCCTGCCTATCCACTGCCTCCTGTCCACTGCCTGAAGTCCACCTCCTCACGTCCACTGCCTGCCTGTCCACTTCTTCCTTTGCACTGCCTGAAGTCCACCTCTTCCTGTCCGCTGCCTGCCTGTCCACCTCCTCCCGTCCACTGCCCGTGTCCACCTCTTCCTGTCCACTGTCTGAGGTCCACTTCTTTCTGCCACCCATGTGCTGCACACAGTTAATCTCCTCCCATCCGCCATCTCCGGTCCACTCTCCCCAGCCCGCCACCCTCACTCACCGACTCCTGGTTCACCTCCTCCCATCCATGGCCTCTGTGTCCACCCTCTCGCAGCCCACCCTCTCCCGGTCCCCTTCCTCCAGACCTGGTGGCTTCCCCCTCCCCCCATCTGAAGCCCACAAGGACACAGAGCCCCACATCCCGGGACGACTCCTTTGTCCCCCCCCCCCCCACTTGCTATCTTCCTTCTGGACTGGACACAGCTGCCAGAGGCTGGAGAGTGCGGGCACAGTTGCAGCCCCTCCCGGACCCCTCGAGCACCTTGCAGAACCTTCTCTGCTCCTCCTCGGGAGGAGGAGACTCCCGCGGCCCCGAGGCCCAGCCCTCTGTCCATGCAGCTGACCCGGGGTCCCCTTTCCTGCTCCTCCTCTCCCCGCACACCAAGGGTCGAGCATCCTGACCCTGTGACTCACCGAGTCACAGCTGCCGGGGTCAGTGCCAGGACCAGCCGGGGAGGGGCCTCTCCGAGCAAACTTCTCATTCAAAAGATAAAATATAAATCAGGAAAAAAAGTTTATGTGTTTGAGAAGATAGCTTCAGGAGCTGAGAAGACCTACCAGAGGCCCCGGTTTGAACCCCAGCATGGCAAATTCCCTGAGCACTGAGCTGGGAGTAGCCCTTGAGCACTGCCAGGTGTGCCCCCCCCCCAACGAGCAAGCAAAAACATTGAAACTTAGAGATGATCTTGGGAAATGTACAAAAATAGGTCCGTATAAAGAATAACATTCAAGAAAACGAGGAGGAAGGCCAGAGAGATAGCACAGCAGGTAGCTCTCACCTTGCATGCGGCCGACCCTGGTTCCATCCCCGGCACCTCACAGATCCCCCAGCATTGCCAGGAGTGGCCCCGAGCCAGGGGTCATGCCTGAGCACCCCTGGGTGTGGCCCCAGACCCCAAAAACAATACTTCAAGAAATGAGTTTATTATTTTCTCCGCCCAGAGATGATGTTAACCGGCTCTTCCCTCCTGTGTGCGTGGAGGTCTATCTGCCCGGTTCTCACGTGTGTGCTTACAAAATTGGAATCCATTTTGGCTGGGCCGTTTGTGCTGTGTCATAAAGTACTCTAAAATCTGGCTCGTGGATGACGTCACGAGGAATTCAGTCCAGTCAGTTTCCCTGGATAGAAAAGAATTTTGCATGCACAGACTCACAGACACAGATGCACACAGAGACGCACAATTTTTTTTTTTTTTTGCTTTTTGGGTCACACCCGGCATTGCACAGGGGTTACTCCTGGCTCTGCACTCAGGAATTACTCCTGGCGGTGCTCAGGGGACCATATGGGGTGCTGGGAATCGAACCCAGGTCGGCCGCATGCAAGGCAAACGCCCTACCCACTGTGCTATGGCTCCAGCCCAGAGACACACAATTTAAAAAAAAAAATGTAGTCCTGTTGTGTGTAACTATATATATGACTGTACAGGGGGGACTGTGCTCTGATAGGGATTGGATTCAGGGCCTCACTTGTGCAAGGCGCGTGCCCCACCCCCTCAGGCCACCCCCATCCCCGAATTCTTCCCTCAGGTTGCGTGCCCCCGGCCTCACCCACTGCAGGGCACTTGCCGAGGCTCTGCTCAGGGGGCCGTGTTCTGAGAGACTCGCCAGCCCCCGCCCTGTCCCCCCGGCCCTGCCCCAAGTGAGCGCCCGCTCTGTTGGTGTTTGCAGCTGGCTTCGTGAAGAAGTCCGCCTCGGACGCGTCCATCTCGTCGGGCACGCAGGGGCAGTATTCCATCTTGCAGACGGCCAGGCTGCTGCCCGGAGCGCCTCAGCAGGCGGTGAGTTCCGAGGTGTCCCGTGCAGTGAACGTGGGAACGGTTCCTCAATCTGGAGCCGCGCTGGCGCCCGGCGACCTCTTCACTCCCTGGCGCTTCCCTCGGGCCCCTCTCTCGGGCCTCAGTAGCAGCAGGGGCCACGCCTCTGGGACTCCGGGATCTTCCAAGGAGGCCTTGGGGAAAGTCGCATAAACGGGACAGAGGTGGGGGTCACAGGACTAGACCCCGGGTGTGCAGCCTTTAGCACTGGGGGTTCCGGGAAGGCAGCGAGGTTGAAGGAAGGGGGTGCCGAGGACCTGGTCAGTGGGGTTTGGAGGGGTCCTCCAGGTTGCCGGGGTGAAAGCGTTAACTGGGGATGAAGACCCCAGGGGGCAGCTGCTGTTTCCCTGACACCTGCTTTTCTCACACACCCCCTTGGCTGCAGGGAAATAGAACTGGAAAGCTTCCAGTCCGTGGCCTTGACGGAACCATGTTTTGTTCTGGTCTGGCAGAAATGTGGGGAGGGGCTGGGTTGCAGGGACCTGGGGTCCTGGGACAGGCTTGGGGTGAAATGAGAAGCAGCCCGGGGCCAGAAGGCAGGAGGACTCAGGGCCAGAGTCCCAGCTGTCCCCAGCAGGAGTCGGGGCACTGGGGGTGTGTGTGGGTTCACTAAGACCACCCAGAGGTCGGGGTTAAAGGCAGGAGGTGATTCGCTTCCTGGCTCTTTGCAGTCACTGAGGGGGGGTGTCTGGCACCTCCAAGGCCTGGGGGTGGGGTTTGTGTTTGGGAGGGGAGGGGTCCCTGGAGGGAGGGCGGGCGCAAACCCCGCAGGCTGAGTCACTCTGCTCTCCCCTCGGCCCCAAGCCCAAAGCCAGGGCCGGCATCAGCAAGCCTTACAACGTCAAGCAGATCAGGACCACCAACGCCGAGGAGGCCGAGGTGGCCATCCGCTGTCTCCTGGAGGCCAGAGGAGGTGGGTGTGTCCCCGGGCCCCGGCCTGCTGGAGAGGGGTGAAGAGAGGAGGAGCATTGGGGTCTCTGGGCGCAGTCGCCAGGGGAACAGCCTGGAGCGTCTTCGGGTCCGATTCACGCGTCCTGATCCCTGAACTCCCTGTGTCCTTCCCGCCCCTTCTTCCCTTTACGGTCCAGTGAGGGCGTAAAGCTGATCCCCGGGCGACGGGCAGCGTTAAGGGAGGGGCTGAGGAAAGGACATGGGTGCTAGGGAACGCCCCGCCCTTGCTCACTCTGGGGCCACAGAAGTGCTCAGTCCCGGCTGCGACCAATCTCCCCTGAGAGCGCCGAGAGCCTTTCTTCTGGCCAGGAACCTGTGTGCCCGATGCCAGAGTTGCTACTGGGTGTGAAGCATGCTGATTGTGTGTGCATGTGTGTGTGTCTGTGTGTCTGGGTGTGGTGAATGGGATAGTGATACTGTGATACTGTGTATGTGTGTGGTGTGTGTGTGAGAGAGAGGTGAATGGATGGCAGATGCAGTGTGTTGTGTGTGTGTACGAATTAATGACAGATACAGTGTGTGTGAGTGTGTGGTGAGTGGATAACAGGTGCAGTGTGTGTGTGTGTGTTAAATGGATGACAGGTGTAGTGTGTGTATGCGTTAAATGGATGACAGGTGCAGTGTGTGTGTCTGTGTGTGTGGGGGGGGGGGGTGAGTGGATGATAGGGGTGTGCGTTCCCTGAGGTGTGCTTCAGCTGCGAAGCCTCTCACCATTGCTGGGGTCGAGTGGGAGTGAATCTTCCACAGCGGAAGAGTAAACCTTGCAGACCCTGTGGGGCTGATTCCACTTGGCCAGGAAGCGCCCCGAATGCAGAGCTGGAGGGGGAGTCTTAGAGCCACAGGGGCTGCAGAGGGGGTGCGAGGGGGCTACCCCCGGGCCGAGGGGCTGAGTGCTGTGGAATGAGATGGACTCGTAGCAACCACCAGATTGCGCTCGGAGAGACCAGGGGCAGGACACTCGCGTTGTGTGGGGATGACCTGGATTAATGCCCAGAACCCCAGAGGGCCCCTGAGCCCCCCGGGAGTAAGCCCTGAGCACAGACCCAGGAGTAAGCCCTGAGCTCCCCCCAAAAAGCAAACAAACAAAAACACCAAAAACAATTTTTAAAAAGCACAGTCATTAAATTGTACCTTAAAAGATTTTAGAGTGTGTGGATATACCTCAGTAAAACTATCTTTTTTCAATTTTTTTTGGCACGTGCGTTGCTCGAGTTTTTTTTTTGTTTGTTTTGTTTTTTTTTTTAGTGAAGTAAATAACTTTTTCTTTTCTGTGTGTGGAGGAACCCTCCCAGCAGTGCTCAGGGCTTAGTCCTGGCTCTGCACGTGGGGATCCCTCCTGGAAGGGCTCGGGGTGCCGGGGATGAACCCGGGTCAGCTGTGTGCAAGGCTAGTGGCCTCCCTCCCGCCCCCCTGAGCAAATTGTTTCATTTGAGAAACCCGAGAGAGCCAGCGCCAGCGTCTGAGCGGTTAGTGAAGGCAGAGCAGCACCTGGTCCGACCCAGCCATGGCCCAGCTGCTGGTCTCAGGGTTCTCACTCCCCTGGTCTCCCCGGTCCCGTCGGGGGCCACACGCAGACCCAGCTGAGGCGGGAGGACAGGCTTCTGGGAGGACTGGGAGGGGCGGAAACGCACCGCTGCTCTTTAAGCATGGGCTGGCCAAACACAGTAACAACAAAGTCTCACAATGGAGACGTTACTGGGCCCGCTCGAGAAAATCGATGAACAATGGGAGGACAGTGACAGTGACAGTCCTCCATCTGTCTCTGGTGCCCAGGAGAAGCCCTGAATGCCACAGTCCCCCAGCCGGAGGCACCCCCGGCGCTGCCCCGCCGGCCGGCACCCAGAGTCCCAGCACTCAGGAAACCCACGTTGCGAAGGACGGGGAAGGTAAGAGCCGTTGCCGGCCGCCGCGGTGGGGAATTGCGTCTCGGGCGGGGCGTGGGCTCCGGGGTCTCCACACACACGCCTCGGGCCCCCGGCCTGGCTTCGCTCGCTGCTTGGCTTCCTGCTGGCAGAGAAATGGGCTCAGGAAATGGGCACCGGGCAGGGTGGTGGGCTGGGCCGTGCCGCGGGGCTGCGTGCGTTCTCCTGGCATCCCGGCATCTCGGGATGCATGTGGCCCATGCACGGAAAACCCCCCGCCCCAGTTCCAAGAGCACTGTGCCCGGAGCCGCTCGCTGGGCCTGACGCGGGCTGCCCGCCGTTCCCTCCCTCTGCAGATCGTCTTTTGCGCCCCCTCCCGGGCCCCCCCGCCCTGCTTGCTGCTTCAGAGGCATGAGCTTGTCAGGACAGTCGCAGCCCAGAGACTGGCGCCCCTCGACACGGCTGGATCCTCCGTGTGATCTCGGGGTCCTCGTCACGGGACACTCGGTAATCTCTGGGCTGGCCATTGTGGGCAGCGGCTGTGCCTGTCCTGTAGACAGCGTGACGCATGCTCCCTTCCTTGCTCGCTTGCTGGCTCTGCTCCTGTTCCGGCCGGTCGTGTTCACCCGCCCGTCTCACCCAGTAGCCCAGCAGACGTCTCCTCCCTGCCTCTGTTCTCATGTCACCTCATCTTCTATTTTGTTTGATGGCGGGATTGAGGGCCACACCCAGCAGTGCTCAGGGCTCACTCCTGGTGCTGCATTCAGGGGTCCCAGTTTGGTGGACTTCAAGAGATGCCAGGGGAGCTGGAGAGATAGCACAGTGGGTAGGGTGTTTGCCTTGCATGCGGCCGACCCGGGTTCAACTCCCAGCATCCCATGTGGTCCCTTGAGCACCGCCAGGAGTAACTCCTGAGTGCAGAGCCAGGAGTAGCCCCTGTGCATCGCCGGGTGTGACCCAAAAGGAAAGAAAAAAGATGCCAGGGATTGTACCCAGGCCCGCCACACGGCAGGCAAACCCCTTCACTGCTGTGCTGTCACTCTGGGCCTCCCCCCCCATCATTGGAGTGCCAGAGGGGAGCTCAAGGCTGGGCACATGCTTCGCGTGTGGGGGTCCCTGGGTTTGGTCCCCTGAGCACTGTGAGCAGCACCCCCCAGTACCAAGCCAGGAGGAGTCCCTGAACACTGCCAGGTGTGGCCCCAGACTCCCCCCAGTTAGAAAAGAAAGCTTCATAAAAATAAAATAGTAGGGGCTGGAGCAATAGTGCAGAAGATAGAGCATCTGCCTTGTATGCGGTTGACCCGGGTTCGATTCCCAGCATCCCATAGGGTCCCCTGAGCACCGCCAAGAGTAATTCCTGAGTGCAAAGACAGGAGTAACGCCTGAGAATTGCCGGATGTGACCCAAAAAGCAAAATTTTTTAAAAAAGTTAAAAAAAGGAACAAAAAGTAAAACAGTAGAAGCCCGTGGCGGAAGTGGCCGTGTTTGCCCATGCCGCTGGTGGGAGTCGCAGAGAAGGGCAGCTTCAGGGACAGGGACAGGCCAGCGCTCTGCTCGTCCAGTCAGGACCCAGAGGGAACCCAAAGCCGTGGCTCTCTGCCCAGAGCCGCCTTTCCCGGGCCTGTGGTGTTTGTTCGTCCCGAAGTGGAACCAGGACCCTGCGGTACCCGTTGGCGGCATCTGCCGAGCAGAGGTTCAGGTGGCAGAGGGACCATGAGGCCCCCGTGGGCCTGGAGGGGACGTGCCAACCCCCAGGGGCTCGGAGAGGCTTGTGTTTAAGAAGGGGCGAGCCTGGCACCAGAGGGTGGGGGGCGCTCGGGGTAGGGGGCCTGCTCTGACCATGGCCAACTCGTTCCTTGCCTGCCACACATCCCTGAGCAGGGCTGGTGTGACCCCCAAAACGACTTGAGTCCCCTGGGACTCTCTGGTGCCACGGGGCCCATGGGCTTGTTCCTACCATGCCACTTCCTTCCTGCCCCCTGCCCCTGTCGGACAGCCCAGCCGTGCCCGTGACCCGCTACCCCCATGTGAGTCCCGGCGGGCCTCCCACTGACCCCCATGTCATGCCTGTCCTCAGCCCCCGTCACCCGAGGAGCCCCCCGCAGAAGCGCCTGTCCGGTTCACCGTCGGGCCCCCGGAGACCAGCCTCGACTCGCTCCCCACGGCTGCCGCCCCGCCCATCCCCAAGCCAAGGACACTGCAGCCTGGGAAAGGGTCGGAGAGAAGGCCGGAGAGGAGGCCAGAGCGGGTCCCTCTGGACGCTCCGCCCCCCGTGCCCCCCAGGAGGAAGAAGTCGGCCCCCGCCGCCTTCCACCTGCAGGCCCTGCAGAGCAGCCCAGAGCTCCTTGGCATGCTCTCCCATGGCAACGGGACCCCCGGCCCCACACTTGACAGTTCCCCGGAGAGGGCGTCAGGGGCAGCCTCCGTGCCTGGCCCGCATCAGGATCCCTTCTGGAACCTTCTCCAGCAGCCTCGCCTCCCGGGGGACTTTGAGTCCGAGGGCACGGGGAGCCAGCCGACGGCACTGGCGGCCCCGCTGCAGGACACAGGCCCCGCCGACACTGAGTGGCCCCGGGAGACGGTCAGCGACGAGGACCGGAGGACAGTGCTGCAGGCCTTTGACCCGCTGACGGAGACATGACAGAGACGAGCGTCCCGCGGGCCCCGGGGCGCCTGGCCTCCCCTCATCCAAAGACATGTCTGCCTGGTGGACGCTGACGGCACCTTGTCACCACAGCTGTGTCCCGCTCACCGGAGATGAATGTCCGACCACTAGATCCAGCCAGATCCAACCAGATCCAGCACGCTGTGCCCAGACTTGTGCATTTTAAAGCTCCCCCTGGGGCAGGACCCCCGGGCTGGGACTCAGTGCGTGTGGACTGGTTGCAGGCCAGGGGTTCTGAGCTGACAAGGAAGACCCAAGATCTTGTCTCCTGTTGGCTTTTAAAAGGCTGTTTGATGGTGTGTGTGTGTGTGTGTGTGTGTGTGTGTGTGCGCGCGCGTGCGTGCGTTGTAGCTTTTTGCGTCTGTTTCACTGGTGTACAGATTTGGAAGGGCATTTGGCGGCCCACCTGCAGGCGGCTGCTGAGAGTCGGGGCTGTACTCACAGGTAGGGGACCAGCTAGCGCTGTACCTGCTGGTCCTCCCCGGGGGACACGGAGGTTAGCCAGTGACTGTGCCCCCGAGCCCTTGCCTGGATGTACCTGATCAGGAGTGAGTCCCTCGGGCACTGCACACGCTGTTCTGAGCATCTGGCGTTCACTCGCCCTGACCTGCCGCTGAGTAGAGGTGTCCGAGCCGGGTCTTAGAGCTTATAACCCACGGGTTCCTCGGAGCCCGAGTCTGGGTCTTCCTGAACCAGCTTTTTTAGGCAGTCTGCTCCCTCCTCAGCTACCCCTCATGGACCCATTCTTCCCTTCTCTTCCAAACCCTGTAAAAGCACAACGCATGAAGCCAGAGCTATAATACAGAGGGCGCTACGTGTTAGTTGGAACCCCAGCACCCCGTCTGGGTCCCCCAAGCACTACCAGGGGTAATTCCTGAGTGCAGAGCCAGGAACGACCCCTGAACATTGCTGATGTGCCCCCCTTCCAAAAGAAAAAAGCACCAAATGTGAAACCTCACGCTGGCACCACTGTTGGGCTCCTTATTGGGACAAGAAGAATATTTGCACTTGGCTCTCTCCCCGGAGGGGAGCTACCCCGTGACTCCACCAATTAGGACCCGCCAGACTGCGTGTGTGTGTGTGTGTGTGTGTGTGTGTGTGTGTGTGTGTGTGGTTTGCTTTTCGCCTGTATATTTCCTAGGTGTTTCCCACACGTCTTCTTGCCTACTTGATCCTGTACAAAGACATCGCTAAGCTGTTGAACATGCTCTCACGATCTGAGCACTAGGGGAAGGTTGCATGCTTGCACTGGCACAGTTGTGACGAGTCACATGCCCTGTGTGGAGTGTTTCCTGCGCCGGGTCACACAGCAGTGACTCTGTCGCCCCTGGTGTGACAGATGCCCTGGGAATGATGCTAACTGTCCCCGGGGCCATTTCTCACCATCCCCGACTGTGAATCTGAGACTCCAGCCCCAGTCAAGCCCTGGTTGCTGTCCAGTCTGAAAACCGGATTTTAAAGAAAAGTTATTTGTTAGCATGGTGTGGAACGGGTCCTGGGCACGGGGGGGCGGTGTGCTCACTCCGCTGTCCCACCCCCCCATTTCTAAACGACTTTTCTGGCCTTCGCTGATGAAGACACCTGTCATGCATGAGGACCCAATGTTATTTTTAACAGGCACCAAGATCAAGAACAGCAGCTTCCCACGGGTTCAGGGAGGAGCACAGCAAACCACATTGATCATGGGGGAGGCAAGGGGCATGGAATTGAAGATTCCTGGGTCCACGGTTCACACACGCACACGTGCACACACACACACACACACACACACACACACACCCCTCTTTTTCTCCCATAAAAGGAAGTGGATCTGGAGGCCAGTATTTGTACCCACAGGTCCAGAGATCTGGGGCAGAGGGACACCATGCCCGTGGCTGGCATCGCGGGCAGTGATGGTCATTGTCTTTGGCCCAGCTGGGTCATGTCCAGAGAACTGAATTTCAGTCACAATTGTCATGTGTCGCATGGGAGTGCTCAAGAATTCAACAGTGTTCGTGCACCGTGGCGAGGGGCAGGACTGAGCAAAGACAGCAGTGCGTGTTTGATCAGTGATGTGATTGGAGATATGTGAGGTTCCGGATATAAAGAGAACCACTAGCATTGCCTTATTTTTTTTCCCAGTCACTGCTTGGCTATGGGTAGATTTCTGAGGGCTGCCATGGCAGTGGGCATGGCCAGGACTCTGAGCTGAGTGTGGTACGGGCCTTTGCACTGCCATTCCCGATCCCTGGGCCTTTGCACTGCCATCCCTGACCCACCTGCGGGGCATCGCCTTCTCTACAGGCAACACTTCGCTGCCGAGCATTTCAACCACTTCAATAATGTGCACCCGCCTCGGCGACCGCACTCATATATTCCCTTTGACAGCCTCATCTTCTTGCCCTATTTTGTTTTCCATGGTTCTGGTAAATGCACGTGTGCAGACAGTGCCTGTAAATGTTTGGGAAGACAATAAAACTCTCCAGCCGTGTCTAAGCCGCGTGACATGCTTGTCTGCTGTGTTGTGGGAGCAGCACCACCGGGACAGAAGGCGCCAGTGTTATTTATTGGGCGACTCGCAATGAATAAACACCCTCCATGTTTGAAGTGTGACCACGTATACAGATGTTGTGAAAATACCTATTAAATGTTTTGTCTTTTTTAAAGTTTGTCTCCATTCTTTCCAGATGCGAACAATGCCTGGCTAGGCTCTACTGAGTGAAATGTTATTTTGAAGTAGGGATATAGTCTGTTTGGGGTATTTATTTTTTCCTAACCGGACCGAGTTCAGAAAGAACAACAGATTGTTTGGTTAACAATGTATGGTTTGCAAAAGAGGCAATGGATGGCAATCCTGTTCGGTCCATAGTCTACTTTCAGCATGCTTCTCCCATCCTGGGAGGATCCTCCCAACACCCTTTACTTGGTGCTCCCTTCTCTATCTGAGCTGCCTTTTCCCCCAGCGTGTGCGGCTGGTCTCCAAGCCATGGAGTAAACCTCCTGATACTTAAAACCTGGTACTGTACCTCATAGTGTTTCACTAATAAAGATCTAAATAAAAAAAAAAACAATATATGGAGAGACAGTAGAGCAGGTGAGGTACTTGCCTTGCCTGCAGCCTACAGATATGGCCCCCGAGCACTGCTAGGAGTGATTCCAGAGTGCCGGGCAGGGGTAAGCCCTGAGCACTGCCGAGTGTGACCAAACACCAGCGAAGCATGCTGGAGAGATTATGCCAAGGCTCCTGCCTAGCCCATACTTGCAGCCATGACCCTGGGTGGAGACCTGGCATCGCCTGTGACCTCCAGCACTGCCAGGAGTGGCCCACAAACCACACTAAAAGCCTGCCTTGACTTAGTATAGCTAAATCTGACAGTAGAACTGACTGTGTAAACCTGACTTAGTGTAATCCATAAAATACGTCATGACTTGATGCTACCATATTTTTGACTTTTTTCTTGGAAGTTTTGTTTGGGGGGCATACCCTGCAGTGCTCGGGGCCGTGCAGTGCCAGAGTGGGGTCCTGTGCTGCAGCCCTCAACTGTCTCCATAGCCCCTGCAGTGCCTCTCGCTCGAGAGATGCTCCACTTCCTTCTCCAGGGGTCTGACAGCGCAAAGGGCGCCGGAGGGAAGAGGCTGAGAGAGAAGCAGACTGCCTACTCCTGCCTTTGGACGCTCTCTGTCACTTGCACACAGAATGGGGTCACAGATGTGCAGGAACAAGACTAGACTGACTGTCTCTGAACCACAGAGCTGCCTAGTCCTTCCGGAGCCAGGGGGTCTTCCTACTTTCACTTCCTGAAGTCCATCATCCAGAAGGGAGGGAAACTGGACTTCCTTTCCCGAGAGAAAGGGTTTAAGACTCTAGATAGCTTCTGTTCCAAAGTAGCTAGGATTTAGTTTTTAAAAGAGTGAGATGGCCACAGAGATAATACAGCAGTAGGGCACTTGCCTTGCATGTGGCCGACCCGGGTTTGATCCCTGGCACCCCATTAGGTCCCTCAAGCCCACTAGAAGTGAGTGCGCAGCCAGGAGTAAGCTCTGAGCACTGCTAGGTGTGGCTCAAATCCCAAAATAAAAAAAAGGAGTGAGGTAGGGGTCCAGCCTTTCCTTCCAGAGGATCAAATACTCCATTTATTAAATAGACCATTGGTTTCACTTCTGTAGGCTTTAGCTTTGGCTGGAACGATAACACAGCGGGTAGTGTGTTTGCCTTGCACGCGGCTGACCTGGTCGGCCCAGGTTTGATTCCTCCACCCATGTCGGAGAGTCCAGCAAGCTACCAAGAGTATCTCACCCGCACGGCAAAGCCTGGCAAGCTCCCCGTGACGTATTCGATATGCCAAACACAGTAACAAGTCTCACAATGTTACTGGGCCCGCTCGAGCAAATCCATGAACAATGGGAGGACAGTGACAGTGACAGGCTTTAGCTTCATAATTTGGTTTCCCAAGGGCTTATTCCATTTTCTTGACATGTTCAAATAATAGTGGGATTGGGATTTAGATATCCTGTGTATAAATTTTTTCTTTCGGAGGTGTCCATATTATTTTCCGAAGAGTTTGAATCAGTCAACATTTTTGCCTATGCTGATGAAACTTTGTTGGTAAATTTATAAAGTTTACCAACAAAACAAAAAGGGGAAGGAAGAGATGGAAATTTTTGGAAAGGAGCCCAAACTTAACTGTGCTCAAGACTGGCTTCGGCTCTGTGCTCAGGGATCACTCATGGCAGGGCTCAGAGGAACATCTGGGTGCCGGGATTGAACCCAGGTTGGCAGCATGGAAGACAAATACTCACTGTGCTGTCACTCCAGTCCCCTGTGGCTGGTGGCTCTATCAGGATCAAGCGATATATGTGAAAATCTTCCTTGGTGTGTATTTCTTCTTTAGATTTTACCCGTTTTGCATTATGCTCTTATTGGTTTTCATCGTGGGGGCCATAGATGCTGGTGTTCAGGGATTATTCTTGGCTCTGTGCTCAGGACTCCTGCACAGTGCCCAGGGAACCATTTGCAGTGCGAGGGCTACATGCAAGGCAGGTGCCTTACCCACTGTGTTCTCTCTCCGGCCCCCATTTACATTATGTAAAATTGTAGACCATATATTAATAGTCTCCTGTCCCCGCGCCTGACTGTCCTCGCTGCCAGGGCCCCTTGGAGGGGAGCGGGTTGAGCTTTCCACCCCGCCCCGACCAGGGCTCCGGCAGCCGAAGACCTCCAGGACCAGCCACCACCATGCTGAGACCACTCTCCGCACACATGAAGGTACTGGCAGAGGGACAAAGTCACGTGGGTTCCGGGGCCGAGATCTCCAAGCCTACTCGGATTTGGGCTGAGCATCCTCCACCCAGATCCTCCAAATTCCAGCAGGCGGGGGTCACACCCACCCACTGGCCCCCTGGCGCTGTGTAATCCCATCAACGGCCAAGACTCAGAGACTATAAAAACCAGCTCCCGGAACCGCGTGGCCACATTTGCGGTCACGCGACCACTTATTATAACATCTTATTATCTCATTCCTACTTTGGACAACCTGGCAGGCTACCGAATGTAACCTGCCCACACGGCAGAGTCTGGCAAGCTCCCCTTGGCATACCCAATATGCCAAATACCAGTAACAATGATGGGTCTCATTCTCCTAAAGAGCCTTGAATATAATCTCAGGGCTAGGATGAAGGAGACGTTACTGGGGCCTGCGCGGAGGCAATCGACGATTAACAGGATGATTTGTGATTGTGATTGTGATATTCATATTCATATATTATTCAAATGTTCCATTTCCTGGTAGCTATAATCTTTACTCACTATGAAGTGACCCTCCTTTTCTCTAATAATTCTTTCCTTTAAGCACATTGTATCTGATGACTTTTGATATTGGCAGGAAGGTCCTTGTGGTGTTCATTATTCTGAGCCTGTCTTTGTGCTCCCGTTTCAGCTGGGTCTCTGTGGGTACCATAAACAGCCTGGCATTGTTTTCTTATCTTGTCTGACATTTCTCTCTTAGGGAACATTTAGCCCATTTATATTTCATGTAACTTTCAGGGTTTAAATTTACCCTGCTACTTTTCCCTACCTTTCTCTTTGTGCTTAATCACTTAATCACTTAACTTCCTGTTAGTCGTCGATTTGCTCGAGCGGGCGCCAGTAACGTCTCCATTTGTCCCTGTCGCGTGCTAGTGTAGCCCAATGGCATCTGTTTGCTCCGGGAACATGAAGGGCCTCAAACCGATCGTTCATGATCTTGACAAAGAAGTCTGACCATCTGGTAGGTGGGCGGCCACGCGGTCTTTTGACATCCCGTGGAATCCAGTCGGTAACAGCTCTAGTCCAGCGGTCGTCTTGAAATCTCATTACGTGACCAGCCCATCTGATTTTCGACACCTTGGCAAATGAGACAGCGTCCCTGATTCTTGATCGTCGATGGATGTCAGAACTCCGGATTCTTTCTCTCATTTGAGTGAAACGTGATATTCCAAGCATAGCTCTTTCTATTCTTCTTTGGGAGACCTGAATAGCGTTCTCATCTTGTTTGCGTAGGGCCCAGGTCTCTGAGGCATATGTTAATGCAGGAAGAACAGTGGAATCAAAGAGATGTGCCCAGAGCCGGAGGTTCTTCGTCCTCTTAGCTATTTCTTCAACGTTCTTGAAGGCATTCCAAGCCGCTCTCTTCCTCCTGCGAAGCTCGGGTGCCAGGTCATTGGTCATGTTGACCTCTCGACCTGGGTACACATAGCTGTTGCATTCGGAGATGGTCGTTCCATTGAGAGCGAATGGGGCGTCAGGAACGAGGCTGTTTCTCATAAACATTGTCTTCGTAAGATTCAGCTGTAGTCCTACCTTTCCACACTCACGGTCAAAGTCGGTCAGCATTTGTGCCGCTTGGCTGATGTTTGGTGTTATTAAAACAATGTCATCAGCAAAGCGGAGGTGGTGTAGTTGCCGACCATCTATCTTCACTCCCATTCCTTCCCATTCCAGTCGTCGCATGATGTTCTCGAGGGTGGCACTGAAGAGTTTCGGTGAAATGGTATCACCCTGCCGCACCCCTCTCTTGACATCAACGATCACTTCTTTGTAGAATGGTGAGATCCTGGTAGTGAATCCGCAATACAGCTCACGGAGGATCCCAATGTATTGGGCTTGAATGCCCTGATTGGCTAGGGCTTCAATGACTGCTTCCGTCTCAACAGAATCAAAGGCCTTCTTTAAATCAATGAACGTTAAACAGAGCGGCATCTTGAACTCCCGAGAAACCTCAATAAGCTTGGTTATCGTGTGGATATGGTCGATGGTGCTGAATCCTTTGTGGAACCCGGCTTGCTCGCATGGTTGTCCTTCATCTAGTGTTCTGCCAATCCTATTTAGGATGACTCGAGTGAACAACTTGTAGATGACAGACAATAGGCAGATCAGGCGATAGTTGCCAATGTCATGGATGTCTCCCTTCTTGAACAGTAGTACAGTCCTGCTGGTTTTCCATTGGGACGGAACCTTGCATTCAGACAGGTAGCGAGTGAAGAGCCAAGCCAGTGTATTGATGAGTACTGACGGCAGGTTCTTCAGGTGTTCAGGTCTTACCTTGTCTGGGCCGGGTGCTGTTTGTTTCTTTACCGACGAAATGGCGTGTCAGATTTCGGAAGGGAGAACGTTGGGAACGACATATCC